CAACAGAGAGCAGCACAATGGGAATTGTGACACCAGCGGGAAGAGAACACCACGCACACAAGCGCTGTTTACTGTCCCAGCTTAAACAAACCTGAGCCAGTGTTTCCCAACACACACCAGCTAACACATGTGCTGGACTGGAGCACTAGACCTGCTAGTCATTAAAATGATGATTCAGACAAACATCAAAACGACAGTGCCCCCCTTACCCCAAATTGTTGCCCATCCGTCAAGACATGTTTTGTGTTTGAAGTTGGCTTCTTCAGTTCTGCACTGAATCTGTGGATAATGCAACTAAGATGTAAAGGAATCTAATGCTCTACACATTACTATTGAGCAAACTGCAGGCCTAAATCATCTCACACTTGCCTCAAACCAGACTCAGTTGTTAAAGCAGCACTAGGTAACTTTTTTATTAAAATGGAAAGAAGTAGAAAAAAACACAGTAAAATATGGTCTGTGTTCACTGCTAGGAGTCACTCTGTAAAGGCTGAAACTGGATCGGATTTGGTGGGAGTTTTTCGGACCATGTTATGCGTCTTTACATGCTAACGTCACACGAACAGACTCGAAAAGAAGGTCTGGCTCGAAGTTTAGGTCTCAAAAGCAAAATCAACATTATACTGATATAGATATAATGACAACAGTAGATCATTCTCTTCTATCCTTGGAAGACACGTCCTTCACCAAGTTTTGACTGAATTTTCTTTTACTACTCTTTCAACACACTCACGAACACCAGATTCATCCACTCAGGGAAGGGGTCTGAAACACAACTGACGTACAGTGTTCTTCCACATGTTGCATGCAGTAACACATTTCCACCAGAGAGGTCTTCAAATCCCCAAAACCTACAAAGTGTAGCTTTACGTAATCTCAAATAATCATGCTTATGTAGTTTCCAACACTGTATGCATACTTTAATCTGTTAAAACGAGCAAAAATGTGGAGGCTAAAACTACTGTTTTTAGCTTTTGTCATATAATTTTGGCACCACATGTTCACAGGTTCACATCACATGCACCATGAGGCTGCATGGCATTGGCTGCCAAACCGTGGATTTCAGTTCAGATTCTGAAACATTATATAACTACTGCAGGCTGAACTGTGGGACACTTATCAAAGGCATTAGTAGTGTTAATCTACAGCCAAATTCCACATAATTCATAATGTTTTAGGATATACATAAAGATCATAGATCATAGATCAGTTTTCTTCTATGGGAAACAGGCATAATTTTCAAAGTCAAAAAAAAGTGTGTAAGGACATTTTGGCTTGTTTTGATTCAGCCAGCCAACTGAAGTGATCGACACATGACTTTATATACACGGAGCGGTCCTGGAGTGGTACTCCTGTCCTGCATATTTTAGTGTTTTCCCTGCCCTAACACACCTAATCCAACTATTCCCCTCATTAGCAAGCCCCTCCTGAGCTGAAGTGGCTGTATAAGAGCAGGTAAAGCACCGGTCTTGAAGAGCCAGGTGTAATCTCAAAACAAGAATGTCTGGAGACAACCACAAGAGCTGAAAGTTGGTGGGAGTGTACACTTATAAGGGTGGGAACAAACAGTGTTAAATAGCCCATGGATGTAACGAAAGTCAGTATGGCTGAAAAGTTCCCCCAGAAAACTTCAAATAACCCTGTAGGCACGTGTTGAGTGTGCAGAGAACACATTACATGCAGTAAAAATAAACGTTACCTCACACAAGGGAAAAACCATGAGCCAACAACAGCGATTTTTGCTAGCTTGTTTTACTTGCGTCACCAATTGTATGACTGTACGAGTGCAGATTAGAGGAGTTTAGAGGAGACAAATCTTTGTTTGAGCGGATTTCTGACTTTAACAAAACTGCACATTAGGGAGTGGACTGGAAATGTGTGTGCTGAGGTGGGATGTAGTGAAAAGAGCAGAACAAAGGGAGGGATATTTAGCAATGTCCACAAATTAACCCCTAAACCAGAGGTGTCAAACCCAACCGCTAAAAGGGCCACGTTAAAAATCTCAACAAATCTGTGAACCAGAGAACGCCCTTCTTCAACTCCGCCACTTTTCTGATGCCGCTGCTGTTTATCCAACTCTCCAGTGTTTTGCTTCGTAATGGTACTTAATGTGGTATTCCTTTATTACTGCCACACCATCTCTGCAAACGAGACAGATTTTTGAAAGAGATATCTGAGCTCCCAAACATCTTGAAATCCCCAGCGTTCACTGTGCACTTCTCACTTTTAGTGAACTGTGCGTTTTTATTTAGCTAGCTAAATGTCTATATTGGTTGGACTGCTGCTGAAGCGCAGCTAGTGTGTCTGCTGATGTGACTGGTGTGGTAGGATTGAGGTGTAACCGCTGTGCCTAGAATGCTGTTGGAGGAAGCAGAGTTGCAGTGCATGCTGGGGATTGTAGTGCAGCACACTATGGGCTAATGGGCTTATATTAATGGAAAATGAAAATAATTTCGTGGGCCGGACAGGATCGTGCTACAGGCCTGACTTGGTCCACGGGCCCTAAACAATGCAAAGTGTCATCTCTCAACAGACTGTGCAACTGAGGTGGCGCTACAGAGAAAGCAAAACAGATTTTAACGGGAGGGGGGAAACGTGGTTTAAGCGAGTGAGCATTTTCATAAATACCTTTGGTACTGACTGCTTTTGGAGATTTTACTCTTTTTTTTTAAGAAAAACACACCACATTCATTTACACACTCAGAAAAAAAGGTAGTAAGCTGTCACTGGGGTGGTACTCTCAAGGGGATACCTTCAGTACTTAAACTTGGAGAACATAATTGTAGCATATTCCTTTGGAATTTGACTCCAAGCTTTTTATTTTATTGTTTTTAAATGGTTTAAAACATTAGTTTAAGAAAAGGTACAAATATGTACCCGTTTCCTGGGAAAATGTATTTAAGGTACACAGTTAGACTTCAAAACCACTGTTGTGCCTTTGAGGGCACATTTACACTGTCTGTACCTTGATAAATAAAAACTATACCAGAGCCTCTTTTTCTGACAGTGTGTCATATTTATGTTGATTCTCTCTTCGCTGCCATTACATAAGCTATTGTGTCAGAAGGCACAGTACTGAGGAGAGCTAAGGTGTGAAAGCCGCTTCCTGCTGATTCTCTCTGTTTGGTCCTAAAGAGCTCTGAGGCTTCAGATCAGCTGAACAGCAAAAGGCGTGTAACTGGAGAGAAACAAACACAGATCAGATCTGCCTGCTCTTTCATTTTGCTTCCTGTGTTTTAGTCCCGTGAATTCCAGCTGCACACGGACAAAAAACGATACAAACACCCTCGCTTTACTCTTCAAAGACCAGCTTCCCTTTCCAAAACCCTCAGAAACATTCCCACAGTGTCATTCTTCAGGTCTCAGGGTGGAATGCGCCTCACTTCCTGTTCCCTGCGGGTTTGGACAGGAAGTGGCCTTCCTGTTCCCCTCTCTCTCTCTCTCACCCTCTCCAAGAGCGATCTTCTTATCGTCTGAGACTCAATTAAATGCTGGACGCTCAAACTGTGCTTGTTTTCTTAAAAGCCAGGAAAAGGGCAACTTTCAGCACTTTCCTCAGAGAGAAAAATAAACACTCTGAACTGAACCTCTACACAGAGAGAGGGAGAGAGAGCGAGAGGAGAGAGAGAGAGAGAGAGAGAGAGAGAGAGAGAGAGAGAGAGAGAGAAAGAGAGAGAGAAAGAGCGAGAGAAAGAGCGAGAAAGACAATATTTACCACCAGGAATAACAGACATGCCTGTTATTGCCCAAAGGGCTCTTCATTGGCTCTACAGATTACCCAACACTTCATACATGAAACACACATTACATGCACATCTGTCATACAGTGTTGAGCTGTTTTAGTCCTATAGGAATACTACCAGTAGCAGTCTAATCTGGTACTACACAACACCAGTCCAATCTGGTACTACATAACACCAGTCCAATCTGGTACTACATAATACCAGTCTAATCTGGTACTACATAATACCAGTCTAATCTGGTACTACATAATACCAGTCTAATCTGGTACTACATAATACCAGTCCAATCTAGTACTACATAACACCAGTCTAATCTGGTACTACATATACCACCAGTACTACATAATACAGTCATTGGTACTACATAGTCAACTGGTACTACATAACACCAGTCCAATCTGGTACTACATAACACCAGTCCAATCTGGTACTACATAACACCAGTCCAATCTGGTACTACATAATACCAGTCCAATCTGGTACTACATAATACAAGTCCAATCTGGTGCATTAACTAGTAAAAAGTCAAAAAAGTTGTGAAGCTGAAAATTCACTCATTTAAATGAAGTTACAAAATTCTCAGCATTATTTTGGCTCACATCGCCTACATCAGTCCACTGCTGCTCCCATAACGCCATTGTCTCATGAACTATAAAATTCACCATATCCCAATAACATTTGTGACTATAAAGCAGGTCGCTATGTGATTTTTAGTTAGAGGCATGTACATATTAAAATGCATATACAATGTCCAGTACAACACTGATAAGCTTATTACTTGTGAACGTGTCCATAACTGTGCAGCTTGATCGTCCCTCAAAAGAGCTCAGTAACGCTAAGATTAATAACTTTATCAAGCTACTGATTTATCAGTCTACTTTTCAGTCTAATCAACCTTCGTTACAGACACTTCAGATCACTCTAAGTACACCTGAACACTGTTGGTACAGCTTTTCAAAAATGTCAGAAATCAGACAATGGAAACTAACTGGGTTCAGAATTGACCATCAGAATCTATGATCACTGCAGCCTTACAGGAACTTACTCATCCAGAACCATCCAGAATGTTCCAGAGGACTTTTAATTTTGAGTCAAAGTGTCCTTTACTATCGTTTTTCCCTGGTCAAAAGTGGTCTTTTTAAAGAGACCACCAGTGATAAGCATAACTTCTCTATCTAGAATGGAGAAAACTCAGGATCTACAGTACTGTCTGCTGTTGCAGTGGGTTTGGACTGTTAAAGCTGTAACACTCCTTACCTGTCTGCAGGAGGGTGTCCATTGCGGTTGCTGGGGTTTGTGTAGGGCGAGTCGGGGGGTGTGCGGTAGCCGTGATAAGTACCCCGCTCCAGAGAGGCCTGGAGAGAAGCGATGCCCGTGTAGGAGTGATCCTGATCCTCGCTGGATACACACGCCTGACTGTAGTCCAGAATCTCTGCATAATCCCTCTCCCGAGCCTGCCGCTCACGCAGTTCCCGCGTCTTAGCCTGGATTCTACAGAGACAGAGGGAGTAAATGAGGACGTGATTTCAGAGCTGAAAGTTATATTCTGTTCCATTTTATTTCTAGTGCGCTTTGAGTTCAGCGTCACAAACAACAGAAGTCAGACAAAGAAAATCACGACTGATTGTCTCGGTAGATTATATAGTGTATATCTGGCAACATTTTGGAGCCATGTTGTACCTTTACCTAATTGAGCTTGTGGATTTTTATTGTTTTATCTTTGTCATATTCTAAGACAATGCCATGAGTGGCAGTGTGTTATTGTGGTTTGCCAAGGCAGCACTTACAATTGTTCTGACAAACCGCACTAACAGAGCAATCAGAAAAGGGTTTGTTTTAATCAAATGAAACCTGCCATGTTCAGGGTTAATGTTTTACATGGTGACTTTTTTAAGAGTTGTGTAAATACAAAAAATCTTTTCAAATCAGATTTGAGTCATAGATACCTATCCAATACGTGGCTATGCAATTATAATGACTATCAGATTGGAATACATGCTTTACTTAGTTATTTATTTATTCATCCATTCATTCATTTTTCCATTCATCCATCCATCATCACTTGTCCATGGATATTACCTGTCTTCAAAAACACAGATAAATTATGTCTCTTTTTTTGCCTTCTCGTCCTAATCATAAACACCTGATGAGTTGTCACCTTCATGAGTTGTCCAACCTCCAGTAATCTCTATTTAATTTACCACCACTGCAGAGACATGATCTTTAAAACACACACAGGCAGCGAACTTTTAGCCTACAGGCGTGCTGACACTAATGACCCTCACTAAAACAATGGTTAAATCGAAGTATTTATTTTTGTGGAAAATTAGTTAATTTACTTGTTACCACATGAAGTATTAAGGTTGACCTAAAAAAAAACCAACCAATTTTTACAGTGTGCATGATCAGAACCAGGCAGATTTTTGCCTTAAATGTGTTATATTTGCCTGTGTTGTACTTTTTTGACATAAACAATGTGAATCAGGTAAGTACACTTGCGCTGAATTTGCTGCTGCTACACCTCTACCAAAACGTTGTGGCACAATCATCCATGACTCACTGCATTTACTTCTCATAAGGTGCCTCTTACTTTCGATGGAGCGTTTCATGTTATTTAAATAGACATTTTAAAATTTGAAAATCTGAATTTAATATGGCAGTTTTGCCTATTAAAGTGCATATACTGTTTGTAATATACATTCATTTAGCTGACACATTGTGAACTTTGGGTTAACAAGAAATGCTAATCAAGGGCAAAAGGGGCCACTGACCAACCTGGCTATAAAGCAATGAGAATTGAAATGGACTATGAAAATTCACAGCTGGTACACTGATAACTACAGTTCAATTTTCAATTCTAGCTTGGCTCTTCTGGCATGCATGCTCATAATACTGCCAAAGCAATTACAAGATCAGAACAAATATACTATAGTCTTCTACTATATCAATATTGGTGATTTTACACAAAATAGGAACATTTGTGTGTGAACCATGAAATATTATGAGGATGAGCCAGGATGCAGAACACTACATAGCAGCACATTAAGGTCCTGTGTGAGGGAAAGCTAATTAAAAGCTGTGTGCCCATGACATGCTTTAATTATGATAGCAGAAAACAGAGAGAGAGGGGGAGAGAGAGAGAGAGAGAGAGAAGAAAAGAAATAGAAAGGAGAAAGAGATCAGAAGTGAAAGAGAGAGAGGGAGGGAGAGAGAGGGAGGGAGGAGAGAGAGAGAGAGAGAGAGAGAGAGAGAGAGAATGAGAGAGGACAGAGAGAGAGGCGAGAGAAAGTGACAGCAATAAAGGCAGCAACCTATAGAGAAAGTCGGCGAGAGTAAAAGCTGGCATGTTTTTATTCTGGGGGACTGTATGTCTTAGCAGTCTCTCACAGGACAGAAGGCAAAGCAGGAGGAGTTCACACGATGGCTATTAATAATTCAACACACAATCAATCTCCAAGACTTATTTAATCCAAATTCCAACTGTCAACCATTTCCAAGTAACTGCATTAGCCACTGAGAGTCCACCATGTCTGAGACGGCTGTTTGTAATTATCACTGGCTCTTCTGCCCTCTCCTACCAGAGGTGTACAGATGCAGTGAGGCATCATGATGCATCAATCTAAATAAAATACATATCATAATAACATATAATCAATGATACTATTTCAAAATATGAATACTGATAACCGATTCCTGAAACTATGAACATTGTGCTGTGAACAGACTGGACGCCTCTACTTATGGAAGGGGTTTCCTCACTTTCACTACTATCCACATTTTAGATCCACAGTGAAGACGATGGAATAACATTGAATTATGCAGAAACCAAAAATAACTAAATAAACCACCCTTTTTAGAGTCTTCTAGAATGACCCCTCCTCTGCCTTGTTACTGCTTTACACACACTTGGTAGTCTCTCAAGCAGCTTCATGAGGAGCCCCATAACAAGCTTTTCAAAACAAAACTGACAAAGATACGTTCATGCTCTAATCCTGATGTTACTGAATATCAATTAAACATTTTACATTCATCCAGATTTAGCTGATCAAGGTATGTTTGGTGCCTAGATTTTGCCTATTTAGTTCAGCGTTGGAGCTATGAGGCTAATGTTGCTTAAAAACACTAGAATAGTCAATAGTCACCCAAATCTTTTCTGTAAATACATCCCCCAAAACTTCCCTCAACCTACTACCGCATCTAGGTCTTCATTAAGATCACGCAGACTTGTCAGACTTGCTGATTTCATTTGTTTCTATTTAGAAACCTACAATGATGAGCCAAACATCATGACCACCTGCCTAATGTTGTGTTGGTCCTCTGTGCCCCGAATAAACAGCTCAGACCTGCAGAAGAATAGACCCTATAAAGGTGGTATCTGGGACCAAGACAATAGCAGATTCTTTAAGTCCTGTAAATTGTGAGATGGAGCCGCCACTGATCGGACTTAGGGCTCCAGCACATCTCACGGACGCCTGATTGGATTGAGATGTGGGGAATTTGGAGGCCAGGGTAACACTCTGAACTCTTCATCTTCCTCAAACCATTCCCAAACAATGTGTGCAGTGTGGCAGAGCGCATTATCCTGCTGAAAGTGGCCACCACCATCACAGAATACCTTTGCAATGAAGGGGTGCACCTGGTCTTCAATGATGCTTGGGTAGATGGCACATGTCAAACTAATATGCACATGAATGCCTGGAGCCAGGGCATCGCAGTAGACACACTACCCAAAGCATCACACTCTCTCTACTGGCTTGTCTTCTTCCCATTCTGGAACATCCATCACTTCCCCAGGTAAAGGCCACACACTTGCCCGGCTGTCCGTGTGATGTAAAAGATAATTGGACAGTGGAGAGGGCTTAGCATGGGGACTCTGACCTATGCCCCTTCCACATCATAGGGGTGTGATGCATAGTGTGTTGTGACACATTCCTTCCGTAACCATCGGTACATTTTTTGTGACTTGCGTGCCACAGTAGACCTTCTGTCAGCTTGGACCAGATGGGATGGTTTTCGTCGCCCTCATGCATTGATGAGCCTTGGGTGCCCAACACCGTGTCGCCAGTTTGTGGCGTGTCCCTCCTTGAACACTGTCGGTCAGTACTCAACACTACTGACCAGGAGCATCCTACAAGCCTTTGCGTTTGGAGATACTCCAACGCAGTCGCCTGGCATAAGGACCGGACCGTTACCAAAGTCGCTTAAGTCCTCACACTTGCCCATTTCTCTAGCATCTAACACATCAACTATGAGAAACGACTGCTCACTTACCATACAATATATCTCAGACCTCAACATGCAACATTACACAGTTATTAATAAAAGGAAACAATAGTAACTGAGAACAGAACATGTAGCATACATGTGCTTGCATGACGTGAGTGCATGCGAAAGGGAGCTCTGGAAAGGAGTCAGAATTTGACACAACACTTGTCTAAAATGTCTGCCCGCAGCTTTCAGCTACGGGGATTTGTTCATTTATATAGCTCACAGTAAGTCATACTGTGTCCTAAACCACACTGAGAAGTATACGTGACCTTAAGGCCTGGATGCGGTTTGAGAGTTTTGAGGAGGTGTTTACAGAAAATGATAACTCGCTGAGTGATTAGTTGTCAGTTTGCATGAAGATGCATATTTTAAAGTCTCCAACTTCTCTTTTATAGTGAGACAGAGCCTGATAGACACACTGATTTCTATGCATCTTTTTGCTTAATGTTTTTATGTTTATATACATAAACAAATCATTAAAATCTTTATTTACAGCTTTCTAGTTTGCTTTTTGTTCCAGCAAAATGTTTTGGAATCTTTGGAAAGCTGGGCACGGCTTATTACAGTTTATAAACTTGATTTACTGGCAAAATAATTAGTAGATCACTCAGTTATATATCAAACATAATCAGCAGTGACAACCCTCATTGTTTTTATCACCAATATTCCACTACTGTATAAAAAGTTGCTGCAGTCATATTTGTGTATTCAGTGCATTCATTAAATCAGGGCCAAAAGCCACAACTGAACGCCTGCGACCTTCCACTCCTCAGACAGCACTGCATTACAAACTGGCATTCTTCTGGGATGGATATGACTGCATGGGCTCAGAAATACTTTGACAAACCGTTGTCAATAAACACTGTTAATCACTGCACCCACAAATGCAAGTTAAGACTGTACCATGCACAGTGGGAGCCATATGTCAACAATGTCTAGAAACGCTGCCAGCTTCTCTGGGCTGGAGCTCATCTGACATGGACTGATGCACTTTGGAAAGGTGCCAACTTTGAGATTTATGGAAATTATGGACTCGTTTTCTCTGGGCAAAAGAAGAAAAGGACCAGCCAGACTGTTACCAGCATAAAGTTGAAAAAGGAAGAGTTGGTCAAGGTATGGGGATGTAATAGTGGGTAAAAGTGAAAGCACCACTGACATTAAAAGCCATATATATGTTTTGAAGCAACATATGCTGGCATCTTTTTCAGGGCTATCCATGCTTATTTCAACATGAAAATGCCATGACAATGTCACAAGAAACAGAAACGGAAAAATGCCAGTATTTCTGAGGTTATTTCACTTCAGGAAAGGTATGTCACTTCAGTTTTGTCATAGTTGTCAAGGTTGAAATTCCAGACGTGCCATCCTTGGGTACATATTTTGCATAGCACAACAGTGTAAGGCTTATTTAAAAAAAAATAAAAATCAGTCCTTTTTCCAATCATCACAAGTTTAGTTATTAACAGGGTCTGCTGCTGTCTCTCTCTTTCTCCCCGTCAGTGTCCTCCGCATCTGACATCATGTGTATTTTAAGTGTAAGGTACGCACACACACACCCCTATCTCCCAGTAACTTTCTAGGTAAATGTTAGTTCTGCAGCATGTGCACTCACTTCTTTTTCATTCTGCCATGATCTGTTCATTACAATTACGGGTTTGGCTACAATAATAATTATGAATACAATACTGTGAAAAGTCATGTTTAACAATTCTTGACAGACAGTATAACTTAACATTACTTGGCCAACTTAACTGCCTTGTGAACAAGCAAGCTAGCTTGTAAATTACGTAACATTATTAACATTAAATATTTTCCCAAGGTCGGCAGGTGTGAATTAACTTAAGTTGGCTCAATTCACAATTTCAACTGTCCACATTCACTCCAGCCCGTTTACCTTTGATAAAAGTTAAAACCACCATCGTCCCAGACAGAGTCAGGATGGCAAACGAGAGGATTAAAAACCATTTTGTGTTGCTGTCGATTTGCAGTCTCTTGAAATGATCGACATAACGGATGTTATCCCCGCTTAATTCTTTGGGAATGAACCCAGCACTACGATTGGTCGAGGTACTCCTCTTTTGTTTTTCGGAAGGCTAGATGCTGCTCCCTCTTGCTGCTAGACTTTAGTACTGCACATGCACAATGGAACTCATAGGCATCACTAGCTTTTTGGTAGTTTAGAGTGACAAATCATACCATGTCAAAATGCGTACCTGCTATGCAAAATGCATACAGGCAGGACTGAAATTCAAGGATGTGTCTAGAATTACTGGAGAACATCAAACACACAACAATGTGGGAGTCCAAGCTGAATAGCCATGTAGTCACCGTCCATAGTGCCATTGTAGACATTTTCCACAACCACTGGCTCAAGTGAATGACTTGCTCCCTCAAAAGCAGCGTTTTAGTTGGAACATGTTCCACTGAAAGCCCTGATATCATCCATTTGCAGCACTGCACCATCTTTAAAGCTCGAACTGCCTTCAATGTAACGTTCGTCAGCACCGGTGAAACGCCGACACAAAGGTACTTTCCCTTTGTATGACAAAGTTTATGCATGCACAAACCCATTTCTCCTCTTCCTCAAAGATCAAACACATGGGTACACTGCAAAAGCTCTTAATCTCAACTTCAGCCATCGTTTAATAATAAAAGCTTTTGCAGCTTATAACGTTGTTGTTATTGTTGTTTAAGCAGAAGCAGCTTAACCCAGCAACAAGTACTACCAGCAGAACAAACTTGGAAATATAAAAAGGGCCTATTTTAAATCATCTCAAAATAACTGAATTGAATCATAGTTAATCTTGAGATTTAATGATTCACTGAATCATTTTCTAAAGCATCATAACTGAATCAAATCATTTACTCTTGCTGAAGCACTACGACTACCACACCGAACTTACGTTAGTAACGGTGCTAAAACAATACCACTATAAAACATCAAGAGTGTATGTGTGTGTGTGAGGAAGTGTGTGTGGCTCTACACAATGGCAGGCAGGGTGGCAGGATCTCTGCCTGATAAGTTTTAAAACTCCATTAGTGCACAGAACAATCAGCCACTAATTCTTACAGATAGACAGATGCACACAAACACACAATAATGACAGGAAGGGAGCAGAGCTGAGGAGTGTGTGTGTGTGTGTGTGTGTGTGTGTGTGTGTGTGTGTGTGTACCTCTCTTGCTCTTGTCTCATCCTGTGCGTCTCCTCTTCCGTAGCTTGCGTCTCCTCTGGCCTCCACTTACTGCTCTTGTTATCCATACGATCATCTTTACGATGCTTTCCGAACCTGAAATACACAAATACAGACACATCCATCATCATCATCATCATCATCATCATCATCATCATCACCACCAACACACAATCAAGCAATGACTATATTAACATGGATACAAAACTACAAAAACATGCATATCGTGCAATACAGCCAGGTGTTTGATTCACATGCTTTTTAAAGGAAACCATATTTCTGCAAAATAGGAGGGAAAAAACTTTGTATCCATCTGTTTCAGGTTCAAACTGTGACTCATTAGATCAAAATAATGACTTATTTTCTCATGATTTTGTGTCAGAACAATGAGTTACATACAGACACTCAAACAAATTAGTTATTACGTGTGTATGTGATTATTTCAACATAACTAATTATTTTGTTCATTTGTTTTTTCTTGAATTTCTTCTTAGTTCTTCTTATTTTCTTCTTAGTTTATGATAGTGCAAAATGTTAGTAAATCTACCCAAAGGCTTCAAGTTGCCTTCTACTGTTTTTAGCTATGCTAACATATTTTGCCCATTGTTATAGATGATAGTACATCATAGTGTCAGAAACCACATAAGTAAGCAAGTCTAGTTGAAACTACTTAACAGCCCAAGGCAGTTTGAGACGTGAGTGTGATGATTTATGTCTGCAGTTTGCACAGTGCTAATTGGTTCTGTTTCAGCTTCCATTACTTGTTAGTTAAAGAAGCCTTCAAGCTCCAGTGGAAAACTAAAGCAGTAAAGCTCAGACACCAAATATGTCTTGGCTGATCGACTGCATTTGGGGTATGGGGAAAAACTGAAATCATAAACTATTGCTATAATTGATGTTTCCTTAACATATGTTTAGCAAAGCCTCGAGGATCAAGTCAGGAGCAGTCAGTCAATGAGAGATCTCAGTATTTTCAAACACTATGGCTCTGGAGAACATCACCAGATCCACCACAGCCTTCCAACCCAAACACATCACACCTCAAAGCCACTCTGGCCCAGTGCAGACTAGTTACACTGTGTGTGTGTGTGTGCGTGTGTGTGTATGATATTTCCCTCTCTCTCTCTCTCTCTCTGTCTCTCTCTCTCTCTCTCTCTCTAGGTCTTCCTATGAAACTATTTTTAAAAGAATTTTGTGTTTGCAAAAAAAAAAAAAAAATGTGTGTCACATTTAGACCAAAAAACACTAATTCCAATTAGTGTTGAAGGGATTGAATTTGTAGCTGTTTTGGCTCCACACTAGAGTTTGGCTTTTGGGACATTTTATCATTTGCATTTAGTTTGGTTGGTTTAACAAGTGGCTAAAGTTCTTCAAATAACACACCTTTTACTATTACTGTATAACAGCCAGGTCTCTCGCGCACAAATACTCTCGATACAAATGAAGAATTCAAACCATTACGTTGGTTAAAATAATGCTAAAAGTAATGATTGACATTTTATGACAATTTTGATTGACAAAATATATACTGCTCCCTGTCTTTATTAACAGCAACTCCCTTTTGCATTGAAATGCATTGAATGTGCAAATATTAACAGCAAAATCAACATCTATATATATATATATATATATTATATATATATATATATATATATATAAGCATTGAAAATCCTCATTTTTTACATTTAAACCTGGAAATGACAGAATATTTTAGCGTTTTTGAAAATATTAAAACAAAGAAAAGTAAAATGTCGAGTGAAGAAGAGACATTAACAACTCTGGACTATTTCTAGGTCACTGTTCACATTTGTGACACTGACCACGTTCATGCCTTTGTACAAAAAGGTCAGACTGAGTCTTATCCCTCCCACTGAAGCACATGTTCAGATGACTCTCTGGGGCAACTGATCTATTTGTCAGAGGCTCGTTTCTGTTAATCAGCTTACAGCCACTGTTCAACTGTCATGCTGCCTTTACAGCTAATGAGGACATAACAAATACTAAATACTAAGAAACTCTGAAATTCAAATAATATTTCAAAGATTCTATTTTTTGCTTGAATGGTTTCTCTGATAAAATAATTTGAGACCAAAAACATTTGATTATATTTACAAAATAATGTGAAACATTATTTTATAGCATTTTTCCTAGTGGTCTCAGACTTTTGGGGAAATAAATAGTTTTCAGCTGCCAGTAAGATCTCAGCATATGTGGACCATCTCCAAGCCCACTGAAAAAGCATCCCAGCTGGCTCCTCATGATGTCCTTGCAAAGATGGAGCTATAATATAAAATAGTACTTAGTTGATTAACACAGTTTTGGTCTCTGTATATGTGCTATTTCATGGCTCTTATAACTTAACCATTATTCTTAAATAGCTACTACTAGAAAAAAGTAAAAATAAGAAGTAAATGTGCCCAAACTTTTTAATGTAAACACGCTGAGAATTCATCCGTCTCTCTCTGTCTGGGCAGCTGTTGCTCCTTCTAATCTCTTCATGGCAGTTAGCTGGAGGTGGCAAGAGGTTAAATCTCTACATGTGGAGATGAGCTCAGACCATCATCATCATCATGGTTATCATCATCCTCTGAGCTCCACAGAGAGTGAAGTGCTCTAGACTCAATAACTGCAGTGAGAGAGAGAGAGCACTCCAGACTGATCACACACCATCCGCATCTACAGCTCCACAGCTCTTCTGTGTGTGTGTATGTCTGTGTCTATATACACTGACTGGTCACTTTAGGTAACCTCGACACTCTTTGCCCATTTTATCAGCTCCACTTACCATGCAGGTGCACTTTGTAGTTCTACAATTACAGACTGTAGTCCATCTGTTTCTCTGCATACTTTGTTAGCCCCCTTTTTACCCTGTTCTTCAGTGGTCAGGACCCCCATGGACCCTCACAGAGCAGGTACTATTTGGGTGGTGGGTCATTCTCAGCACTGCAGTAACACTGACGTGGTGGTGGTGTGTTAGTGTGTGTTGCGCTGGTCTGAGTGGACCAGACACAGCAGTGTGGCTGGAGTTTTTAAACACCTCAGTGTCACTGCTGGACTGAGAATAGTCCACCATCCAAAAACATCCAGGCAACAGCATCCTTTGACCACTGATGAAGGACTAGAGAATGACTAACACAAACTGTGCAGCAGCAGATGAGCTATTACCTCTGACTTCACATCTACAGGGTGGACCAACAAGGTAGGAGTGTCCAGTGGACCCAAAAACACCACCACCACGTCAGTGTTACTGCAGTGCTGAGAATGATCCAACCATCCAAATAATACCTGCTCTGTGGTGGTCCTGTGAGGGTCCTGACTTCAACATAACAGGGTGAAAAGGGGCTAACAAAGTATGCAGAGAAACAGATGTGAAGTAGTCAAAGATAAAGTAGGTTTTTAATTGTTTGCTGACTCTGGATACAGGAGAGCGAGGGTCGAGTCTGACTCAGGGGGGACACCACTGATCTGCCATCAGACATGGCTCCTAATGCTGCATTCCCGCCAATCTAATTGGGTCACTCTGTGATTACACTCACATGTAATGTAATTTGATCTGCTCCAGAGTGTGTGAGAGGTGCGGAGTGCCGTGATTTTGCCCAGACCTTGGACCTTGGAGCGTCGGTGCTCTCTCTCACTCCAAAATCACTCCAATACTGCTCCATCCCATGAGCCAGTCATTTTTTCCCATTGACTACCTACTGTGACATAGGAGTGATGTGGCAGTGTGACTGTTACAGCTCACACACGTTCTTACACTTCCGCTACAGAACTGTTCAGCGGATCAACATACTGGAAGTTCTCACCAATCACAATTTAGACATTACACACAATTAGTCTTTGCTAAGCAAGTGATAAAGATCTTGTGAAAATCCTGAGTATTTGTTTACCCTTGGCGGTTTTTTGGATTGTGATCAGGCCTTCACTTCAATCCCATACTTTCCAAAAAAGCCAGACATGGGAAATAAAAACCCGGAGCTGAAGCGGAAAGATTACACTGCTCCACTCCACTCACTCACAATGCTGCTCCACTCCACTCACATACTCCGCTCTGAAACTCATATTGCAACATTAGTAAAAGTACCCTTCGTTGTGCAGTCCCAAAACTCGAATATGTCTGATCAAAATAAGGCAGGTCAGTCTTTAACCATGAGAAAACAAATGCAGTTACTCTCAGCAGTAAGAAAAGCATGTTGAAATTTTATAGTAATTCTTTCTCACTCATATCTCATGGAAACAAGCAGAGAAATTCTAGAAAAGTGCAGGTTCCAAACTTTCAATCAATACCACATTTGCGTTTGTAAGCAAAAGAGGAATATTACAATGATTAGAACTTGATTAGGGCCTGATTAATATGAAAATCATCACTGATGCCTATTTTAAGGAGCTAATTTTTCAGATAACTGATCATTTTGAGCTAACATTTTTTTCTGACTGATATGATTGTCCATCATTAAATACAATTAACTCCCAACTGTCATATAGCAGAAACTCAATTTAAGTCATTATAAATCTATTATGTTTAGCTGTTTTTGAAACAGCATCAGACTACTCAATGTGGTTAACTTCCACCATTTAAAGAGACATTATGGATGCTTTATCAGTGGGATTTCCACCAATACTGATAAATATTAGATCGTTATATGAGTCAGTTTCATCAAATAATATATTGGTCGGGCTTTGGACCAAAAACCAAGTTTTTGGACCAGATTCATATAAGGTACTGCCAGATTTACCGTGATGTTAAGAGCAAATACTGCGGCTGTGACACGTTTGCTCATTCATATATGAGGATTACTGGCGTGTTTTACTGCCTGTGCGATGTGAGACGTGGCCACACCTTTTTTTTTGCGTGCACTGGCAGAGATTCATAACACAAAACAATCCTGCAAAAAATAAAGCCTGAACTGCTCTGGAGGTAAACCTTCTAAGTGCTATTGTAGGAGTGCACAAGGAGTAAGACCTGCTTGAGCAGGATTTCCAGCAGATTTAACTGGCACTGAACTTAAAACAGCTTCTTCTTCCTGCATCAAATTCACTGTTCTCCAAATCCCCTCTCCCGTGTGTGGAAAGTAGGTTTAGCTTGTAATAAGAAGAATGAAAATAAGTAATTTTACATGTTGAGATTCTAAATGTTTGGTCGATTTGATTTTATTGCAAGTAATTTTAGCTTTGAATCCTATTTTTAAATGTATAATAAAGGAATTCAATTTGTGTGTGTAAGTTGAATTCCTGATCCCAAGAAATAAGGATTCAGTGTGTCTATTTCATTTTTAATTGTGTGGAAAAAAAGATCACATGTAAAACTTTAGTGTTGGTAAAAAATGTTACCGCAATTATAATCAATTGTAAAAAGGCACAAATTCATACCAATATAAAATGAAATCTTACAAAATAAAATACCATTTCTACAAAGTTTATGATTTTTATACACACTGCCTCTTGACTCTATACTTGGCATGGGTCCTTAATATGTATGACCTCATCTGCATGTCAAACTTGATTGGCTCTTGGCTAGGACACAGATTTGTATGGTGTGGCGCTGTTACTGCCAGGTTTTAAGAATCTGGCCAATTGTTTGGCATACATTCGATGTTTTGAACAAATGAAACCCATTCTTCAGGCTTCTGGCAACAAAAGGAAAAAGTTAGAAGTACAGACACAAACTAATGTAACTGTTAATGCAGAGTGCAACTCGAAAGTAAATGTAATCATTGTGTAACTATGCTGTTGGCAATTACAGCTCTGAGATGTCTACAGTAAGAAGTAATTAGCTTTTTGCAGCATTGTGTTTCAGTGTTGGCCTGTTCATCCTGGGAAACTGCCCTCTATTCTCTGAGGTTATGAGGGTCCTGCAATTAAAAAATACTTGATTTTCAATGGGGTTCAAGTCAGGACATTGGCTAGGCCATGTAAGCACCTTCACCTTCTTTTTAGAAATTAGTATTGAGTTTTTTTGGCTGTATGTTTGGGGTTATTGTCTCAGACCCCATTTACACCTGGTCACTTCATGTGATCGGTATCTGGATTGTACCCTAATATAATTTTAGCCACATGCACTTGGTAATCAAATGCATCTCCAGCTAGGCGGGCTGAAATCTGATTGCTATGCAGGACAGAATATGCAAATCTGCTTGTTACACGGCATCCAATTACCAACTGTTTATCTGTACAGCCTCTTCCTGTGCTATGCTAAAGCTAGTTGCTGCCTTGTCTGCAGTTTGTTTTGTACTGTGGTGTCTGTCCATACCGCTATTAAGAATTTCGTTTTGCCTGGTCTCTAACTATGTGCAGCCTCCGTGATTATCTCCTCACAGACCCGGATCAGACCCTGGTTGTTGATTGTGTCTTGGAGAGACGGATGCGTTTACACTGCTATTGCATGTGGCTCAAATGTGTCTCAGACACCCTCCTGAACTGGTTTGAGCGATCAGATCTGTATCTGTTTTAAATGAGTCTTGGGGCATTTACACTTGCATTTTTATGTGCTGTGGCCTTATCGAGATATAATCCTGATAGTCAAGCTGCATATAGTGAACAGGTGCAAATGGGGTCTTAGTGAAACGTCCCCAGTTTAGATTTTTGATGGCTGAGATTTAACTTAAAGTCTGCACTATGGCTCTGTAGCTTTTCCCAGTTGAGTGTTGTTTAATAATGTTGTATCTGAGACCTTTAGGAAGTTCCTTTACTTTCACCATGATTGCTAATAGTTGCATGGAATCTTTCCAACCAATGGCAGTGTCGTTTATAACGACACCAGGTGGAGTATTTTTTGCCGCATTAATATCTTAAGATAATTATGTCGTGGCCACGACTTAGTAAGGTGTGGGAACGAGATCATGCCTTACCAAGTTGTGGCCACACATTAGGATCTCGTTCCCACGCCTTACTAAGTTGTGGGCACGCATTAGGATCTCGTTCCCATGCTTTACTAAGTCGTGGCCATGCATTATTTTTATTTATACAGGACGTCACCAGTGGGGCTCCGTAAAAACTTGAGATATTTTTATGTAACCTCTACAAATATATTTTTAATATGCAGTCTAAATACTATCAATTATTGAAACACATATTTGTCTATTATTATGAACATATATTTTGTGGATATATGCACTGGAACTATATTAAACAACAAAAACAAAACTGTCTTAATACTTGTTTGCCCTCACTGTAGTATCAAACTAATAGTAAAAATAGCACTTCAAAAGGTTTATTATGCACCCTCAAGGTCTTGATAATGTGTTTTTAATATACTGCAAGGTGGACTGTAATCGTAATATGCAGCAGTGTAATCTCAATATGGTATTCTGTCTGTATCTGTCAGCTTGGTGTGTGTGCGTGTGTTGAATTGCAGGTCTGAATCTGCTATTCTGGTGACTGCATTAATATGGTGAATGGCTCTCTGACACAGTGAAGCATGAGACAGGCTGCACACACAGACACACACATACACACCTTCAATACACCCCACACACCCTGAGAAACACTCCTCCAATCTTCCTCACTCTCCCTCTCCCTCTCTCTGCTTCTGACAGGCTCCAAAACACTCCAATGACTCTTGTTCTCTCTCTCGAAAACTTTCTGACACGCACTCAAACTTCTCCTCCAGCTGAGAGGGAAGAACATTCATCATCTTCTGGCCTGTGCTGGTTAATATTCCAGAGAGTAGCGAGAAGATGCAATGATATTCAAACCTGCAGCTACGTGACAAACAACGCTACGTCCACAGAGTAATTCTACTCGTATCCATCTTACTCTCTCACACCAACACAGCTTATTTTGCGCTACAGCAGTTGCCACCGATGGAGTTCCCTGTATGCCGTCACTGTCACAACAAAACCTTGCATCTTGAAAATGGTGAAGAAAGGAGAAAACATTATTTAACAAGACTTTATTCTAAGTAAATTTGGATCATTTTGCTTAGTCCATTCATCAGAAAATGTAAACACAATGTTTTCAAATGCTGAATATGTTAGAAGGTTTTGACATGACAGTGATAATATTTCAAACTATTATCTAATCAGATATTCTCTTCACGCTGGAGAGGATTGGGAATAGAAGTAAACAGGGAAGCAACAGATTACACAACTGTTAAATATCTGCCTATACTACAAGGCTAGAGATCAGCAGAGAGTCTGTAAAGTCTTAATGCTAATGATCAACACTAGTGTTGGGTTTGGAAAAAGTAATTCGAATGGAATTTGTAGGGTCTTTACTCTAATAAACAGCACTAGGGTTTGGTTTGTGAGGTCCTCACTCTAATAAACAGCACTAGTGTTGGGTTTGTGAGGTCCTCACTCTAATAAACAGCACTAGTGTTGGGTTTGTGAGGTCCTCACTCTAATAAACAGCACTAGTGTTGGGTTTGTGAGGTCCTCACTCTAATAAACAGCACTAGTGTTGGGTTTGTGAGGTTTTAACTAATATAATCAACATTAATGTTGGGTTTGTGAGGTTATAACTAATATATTCAACACTAATGTTGGGTTTTTAAGGTTTTAACTCTAATAATCAACACCTGTATTGTGTTTCTGTGATTCTGACTCTAATAAGCAGCACTAGCAATAAGGTTGAGTAGGCTTAACTCTAAAGATACTGAAGGGTTTGCAGGCAATCAATAGCTATTTAGACTGGCTCTCCTTAGTTCAATACTGAACAAAATCAGGAATTCATGTATTCTAAACTGTGGTCATCAATATTAGTATGAAGTTTCCGCATTCTTCATTATAATTATTAATACTAATACTATAGACTTTATCTGCTCATTTACCTGAACATCTCTCCAAGACCTTTCAGCACTCCCTTCTTTCCTTTGTTCTTCTCTTTCTCCTCGGTTTTCTTTTTCTCCTTTCCTCCTTTCTCTTTTTTCTTGTCATTTGCAGGTTGGTTGCCATTGGCGAGCTGTCGCTCAGCAACAGGAAGTGGTGTGAGATCAGCTACCGTGGAAACAGAGTCCCGGCCCGATCGAGAGCTTTCTTCTGTGTCTTCCTCGACTGTGGGGTCAACATACTGACCATTAACAACCAGTCAAATCAGCAGGATCTTTAAAAGAACACTCCAGCTGTTTTCAACATAATCTCTCTCTCTTTGCATCTGTAGTATAAGGTCTGTTGTCATAATTTCCCTGTATTAAGAAGAATAGAAAGTCCATTAACATAAAAAAACACTGACAATAGAAGCCAATAGGCAGGAGTTTCAGCTAAAAGCCAAAACCCTTTAAACATACTTAAAACAGAAGGAGCACCTGCCACTGGCCTCTATTATAGGTGTGTTACAAATCAGCAGGTTTTCTGTTCTTTTATTAAGTGCAGGGGACAAAATTATTGTCTGAGGTTGGTAAAATTATTGTCGACTGTATGTTACAGATGCAGCAGATAGAGATTAGGTTGAAAACTGCAGACCACTCTGTTAATGCATCCAATAGACCCTTTACACACTACTACTACTACTATGATTTGTCATAGTAGGAACAGTGTTACAGCAGCGGCAGCATTTATGAATGAGAACGTAGACAAAGTCCTCCTTTATAACGTCTCTGATGTAGAGGACACACTTATTTTAATGTCCTTATTAAGGTGTTAATATACTTTTTCTATGAAAGATAGAAAAGATTTGTTTGGTGGAGCAATTTTCAGTTTGAGAGGAGTGAGCTTGACCAGGGCTTCTGTTTGAGAATTACTTGCATGACTATAAATTTTTATATATGTGTGTATATACATATATACATATATATATATATATATATATATATATATATATATATATATATATATATATATATATATATGTGTGTGTGTGTGTGTGTGTGTGTGTGTGTATATGTATATATATATATATATATATATATATATATATATCGCTGTGGTCAGAAGAAAACCTTGTATCTCCAAAATGGTTAAAACTTTTCATGTAAGTCAATGGAACCAGACTTTTTTCCAAGTCATTTTGGGTCATTTCTTTTGGTCCATTCTTCATGAAATTTAAATACAATGTAAAGAGCAACAGGTATTTTCAAATTACATCAAAAACTTAAAAACAACAAAAATGGAGATACACGGTTTTCTTCCGACAGCAGCGATATATAAATAACAAGTTATCCAACAAGGTTAGATAGAGGTGGCTAAAGGTAGCTGTCTAATGTTTAGTCATTGTGGTGCAAGTTGGGATTGACTAATGTAGTAAATTATACCTTTTCGGTTGTATTATGTGATTTAACATTTTTATATTTTACTGTCTATCGTTACTGTTGCTTGCACAGCATTCAATGGCCATGTTGTAATTAGCGTTCCTTTGTAAGCTAACAGACATGGTAACGTTTAATTATTTTAGTTTCCGAGCCGTAACACTAACGTTACCATTTACTATGGAAAAGCAGAACTGTTCAGAAGTCGATCTACCCAAGTTTACTTAACTAACTGTTTTATTTAAAGGTAATGCCACATATTCTCTCCTGCACACATCTTTTTAGCTTCTTAAAGCTCACTCATCCAGCACTGAAGCAGCAGCGTCAGGTGTCCACTTTTATTGTAGACCTTGCCATTCTTGCTCCTCTCTGAAAATGGAAACTGCTCCACCAAAAGAATAACATCTTTGGTGGAACAATTAAGTGAATATCTTAATAAAGATGTAAAATAATGACGCCTACACTCTTGTAAAAGCTTCCGCTGCTGTAATGTTTTCCCTACTGTGACAGCCTCCGCTGTGTCAAATACGGAAGTGTGAAAAGCATGAATTAGTGTGAAAGAAATACGTACATTAACATCAATGCACACAATTACATGTAAAATCTTCAATCAACAAATAAACCAATCAGGAGCTGCCGTACGTATGTCCATGGTCTCCCCATCTTCCTCACTGGCTGCTGGTCTGTCATATGATTTGTCGATTGCTGCCCGGAAGCTCTCATTGCAGCCCCGCCCCCGTATAATGCGAGGGCGTGGCCTGTGGAAGGGGAGGTCCCCATTGAGAGTTGCCTCAGCGACGGCAGTCTGTAAGCTTTCCAAGGAGCTTGACTTCTTCAGGCCCAGAGACGGGCCGACGTCACGTGATGAAGAACCTGAGAAAGAGCCAGAGGGTTAAACACTTGTTGCATCGTCAACATTCTCTGTCACAGTCTTGAGCGGGCATAAAGTTTTATGGGGAGTTTTATGTGAAATGTAAGATGAAAAGCTGCTGAAGTTATAAAATATCAAACGCGTTTTTGTTCTAAAAGATTAAAGATATTTACATACACAGATATATGTCTTAGATTTGAACGTGCAAGGTACACACTCAATACACACCGCTTTGTAACTTTTTTTTTCTAGCAGGTTATAGACTCCTGAATTCCACAGTGCATTATGGAAAATACTTCAGTTAGTTTTGACCCTACAATCTGACTAAATTAACCTTTTAAACTCCTTGGAACAACCAGCGGTTCCAAAACGCACTTCGTCATATTCTTCATAACTTTCATATTTCATAAGCTACATTTAAAAGGTGGGGGTCATATGAGAGCTGTAACTGTTCTTCTTTCCAGTCAAATAGATGGGTAAGGTAATTTTAAACCCTTATAATAGAAGAGGCTGAACTCACCCTGTTTTTTGTCTACTGAAAGTTGACCCATTTTTCCACAAATCTGGACTATAAACTATAAACAGATAGTGTCTCTTCAGTGATCTGCTCTGTAAAAATTATTTTTATAAAAAAATACAAAGAACGTCTAAGATTTTTGGCTTTCGGCAATAAATTGTAAGCATATAGCAATGTGTGTATGATCATAAAACATTTTCTGTTCATTTGAGGGGAACTTTTACAAAAAATTAATAAATAAATAAAATATAAATTTACATTTATTTCATGCTGTTACTGAATAATTTGCCTTATGATTTGGTCTTTTATCTGACAACAGCGGGGTTTCACCATACCCAAATTATTCCACTGAACATTAGTTCTAAAGTAACAAGCAGTGTTGGTTTAATCTAAACTTCTTGTTGTAACTGTATTTTTGATGGAAGAAACTGTCAATATTAAAGTCTGAAATTAAAACTGACCATTTTTTACCTTGTTAGTTCATATTCCTTCTCATATTAAGCATGATTCATCATATTTCAAAGACTAAATTCTTGTTTTCCTGTAATATTTAAGCGTCTAAGTGTCAGTTTTTGTTTTGTTTTTGCCTCTAAAATGTCATCACTGTGCAACAGCAGGAGTAAGAAGTATTACTAACGAATGACGTTATATTTCGTATTTGTATGAAAAGAAGTTGCTTAATAATTTCCAATTCATTTAGAGTCATATCCAAAAGTTTGGGCACCCCTAGTCAAATGACGTTTTGTAGATTTTTAGTAAATACATCCTCTACAGAGAACACACCTGCATATTTTAATACACAAATACTGATTATTTACTGAATGTAATATTATTTTAATATTATTTAATTTAATATTTTTTTTACTACTTACAATTTATTGATTAATTAAGAATAATTTCCTGAATTTAACACACTGAGGAAGACAATAACAAAACGTGGCCTGTGCAGAAGTTACAGCACATTTTCTGTTTTATTTTCCCCCAATATGTATTTTATTCATTTAGACTTCAGCGCCAAAAAAGCCATAAAAACATACCAGAAGCAAAAGAAAATCACTGAAGCAGAAAAATGCATCAGCAAAAGCCTCAAATAGAAGAAATTCTAAAATTCGTGTGAACCTTTCAAAGATTCTGCTCTTCACTCAGATTGTTATGCTGATCATAAAATTATATTAATTAAATCAGAAAAGAATCCCAAATAGAACCATTTTCCACTAGGGATCTCAGACATTTTTTGGATTTTGGAAAATTAATATTTTGCTTGCGAAGTTTATTCAATTTAAAACTTCTGGCACAGAACGAACCCCACAGTTCAATAGTCTGCAGGTTTTTCCGTTTGTACAATTGGTTTGTCCTTAGTGGTCAGAGTCTGTGTGCTGCCGCAAACAACTGGCTCATGATCAGCATAACGCCTGTGACATTTTTCAGCTGTTATATTGGATAAGCTAGACAGAGGGAAAACCCAGCATGAGTGAGGGAGTAAACACGTGGGTCATATACAGCTGTGTGTGGGAGCGAGGGAGGACGAGGCTGAAGATAAATGAGTAAAAAGGGAAGACAAAGAGATTGCAGCCATTCATTCTCATCGAGCCCTGGCAGTCTTACTAATACCTGTCACATCACACACACAAACCACTACGCAACAGAGGTACATCTAAAGCTCACAATGATTCCAATCTGTTACACTGTCAGCCCCCCCACAGAATCTCACAACTTAACCACAATTTGATTTGAGTCAACACAAACACAGCAAATACTGTACATGCCCACACAAACCTACACACAGTCGAATATAAAGGTTTGAACCACACTGAGGTCAAATTTTAGTGCACAATTTCTATTTATTTGCTGAGTTTAACATATTAGAAATAATTAAAACAACACTTTAAATGTGCCATTACTTTTGCACTTGTTCTTCCCAATTTGTTAAATTTAAAGTGTACACTGAAATGTGCAAAAGTGTGATCTCTGTAAAGGATGTGTATTTATTTTCACTTAGAAACTCAACAAAACATAATTTGACCTGGTTTGCTGACTGCAGCTGAGTCTTGTAGCGCTCTACAGATTTCTTTTTTTTTGCATTACTGATGTAGCAATTTTCATATGTGAATCATGTGAAGATGAACAACATCGGCAAGAACTGCAAAAAAACAAGGTGGCACTGACAAGACAAGAAGCTAGTTAAGGAGGATGAGGACATATCCGAGCAGGTGGGCAGTGAGGAAAAGCCTTCTCCAGTTTTAATTTCATCACTAGTTAGCTACTTCAGTTACCTCAGTGCAGGATTAAAATAATAAATAAGAGCATGAAATGAAGAGATTTCTGGTGGACTGGTCTGCATCATGTAACTCATGGTCTGAAAACAAGTTATTGGACTGGTGCAATCGGATTAGGGGTTAGATTATCATTATTGGCAAAACACTGCTTGATATCTTGTTTGCAGTGAAAATGGAAAGTACGACTAAAAGGCAGAGATAGTGCCCTGAAACTGAGAGATGGAAAAATTTAAATAACTTAAGGCTGATTCAGCTAAACATATAATTCACCTGAGTGCTTCTGCACCGGCCGCTATCTGCAGCTCTGCCTGACACTGATAGGGTTCTTAGTGAATCTAGCATTACCTGCATGTGAGGCCAGTCAAATCATTGCACTTGAAGAGATAAGCCTGCATAGGGAGCCAAGAGACATGAGCTAATCTGTATGTAGCTATAGCTATATAGTCTATGTGTAAATTAGGTTTAGTACAGCTGATCCCCACTGCAGCCTCACTTCCACTGTCAGAACCATTCAGCATAGAGTGAGCTTCACAGTCCACATGCCTGATGTTCCTGTTAATCAGTGGCAAACAATTCTTAGGCTAATAATCAGAATACAGCAACTACAAATCAGACATGGATTATGTTTTCTGTCACTTATGATCCAAATATTTCATAAGTTTGTATTTGTTCATTTCATTAATTCTTGAATTAATTTTGATCCAGAGTAAAATTGATTACAGTCTTGTTTATTTAATTATGATTGCACTTGTAAGAAAGACCCCAACTACACACTATTCTATCCAGCATTTTTTGTGGCTCTCGAAGGAGTGGGGATCACTGTGTATGCTGTCAAGTTTGTAACGTGAAGCAGTGCTGTGACTAGCCCACATAGTTTAGGTTTACATATAGCTATAGCAATGTGTTATATGTTCTGTAGTGATTGGTCAGTCTGTGCTTATCAATAGTGGTATTTATTTATTTATATTTTTTAGTTTTGATATTGAAGTTTTTTTTGGGGCGGTCTGTTTTGGGGCATTGGGTTTAGGGTGCTGTTTTTGTGGTAGCATTGTTTTAGCATTGGGGGTTTTATTGTTCTCAGGGGTGGGAGATGTTTTTATTGGAGGTTTGGGGTCTCCTTTAGAGTCAATCTTTATGAAAATCCAGGACTGTTTGCAAATTTTTCCATCCCAGGCAATTTATTGTTGCCCAGAATTTGTTGTACTATGATCAAGCCATATAATTGCTGTAAACACAACTAGCAGGTATGTACATTCTAACTAATTTTGACATTCCTGTATCCCATAACAGTGACTCAATGAACAAAACAACGACCAAAAAAAATCAGCCTACTTTTTACGTGACAGGACTGGTTTTAGGAGGGAGGTTAGAAATAGATATTCAGCACCAAAGAGGAATTTGAAAACGTGTTTTATTATTCAAAAAAACAGCCAGTGGATGATGTGTGAATGTGTTTCTACATCAGCTAAACATCTAACATTAGCTAGTAAGGCTTATTAGCAATAAAGCCACAATACCTCTGATTTCCTCTGATCACGTCCTTAATAATGTGTTATTGGCAAGACGCTCACTTCTAGGCACTTAAGTGTCAGAGTGGCACAGTGTGATATACATAAACATACAAGCAAAAGTGTCATATTTTACAGTCCTCTTAAAACATAAAATCACTGTTTCACTGAACTGCTGAGTACCCATGCATGTCCCTAACTAGGGATGCAATTCTATCAAACCTAACTACTCGACAGATCCACTTTTTAAATGTTGTATTTTGCTAAAAGCTTCACAAATAAAATATGGGTCATTCTACAGAAATGTCCACTTTTTTATCCATCCATAGGAGTCACTGATGTTACTGATTGTCACCGGTGTTACACATAAGAAACGTAACACCAGAGACAGCAACACCAGGGACCTTTTTAATGAGTGCACTTTACAAAATGGCTGCTACACAGCATCAAGCCACATGTTGTCAATCATGGAATATCCACCACCATAATAATGTAATTTAATCAATTTGTATTCTATTTTTTCACAGTTATCTAAGAATAAAGTAGGTCACACCAGTGACAGCAACAAAAAGCTTCAAATGAAATCATGAACTAAACGGAAAAATGTCTGATAACTGAAAAGACACAGTGGACTTACCATGTGCTTTTCTTCCTAGACCGTCAGACAATAGGTCAAAGGAAGTCAATTGATGTCATCAGCATGATTTTTAGTTCAAAATAAGAGATTTTTTGTTAAGCAGTAACACCAGTGAGACGACTCCTGGGGACCACAGCTTTCACTATATTTTATAATATTTATTTGCTTTCTTTATGTCACTGAGGACGAGCACTTCTGTGGTGTTTGGAATTCTATATGATTGATTTAAAAAACAATATTACTAATCTTTTTTTATTTAAAAATATAAATAAATTGTAACCCTAACATGTTTTTCAAGTGTAATATATCTGTAAATGCTAGGGACACAAAAATGGACTCGTATACTAAGTTGGATAACCTCATATTTGAATAACTTCAGAGTTACAAAGTCACTGTGCTATTTGGCCTGGTTTATCTTTAAATGCCTATCAAACTTAATGGATCCTTGCTGGACGAAACACTGGCCTTACAGATTTTGCAATGAGTATTTTCTACTACTGCTTTTCTTTAGCATGAAAATCCTACATCACCAACATTTCTAATACTGAAACTCTGTGCAGAAAGGAGGGCCATTCTCTCATTCCATGTGCCTTCTGTAACAGCTGACATCCTGTTCTGTATGGATCTAATCACAAGTCAGTCAAAAAATAGATTATTCCTCTTTTCTTTACCCAGAACTCCGGAACAGATGTTTCTTTTATCAAACTTCCTTTTATTGGTTTCTTGAGAAACAGCTAGCTCCTCTTTTGGCCACACCAAGTGCTCTTTGTCATTACTGCTACATCATTCAATTTCAAGGAAATCCACCATCAACTGTATGATCTAACTCTACTTACCAAACCTCTTGTCATTAACCTCTTATGTATCTGTGGGTGACATTTGAGAGATTTTAAATTGGTTTAACAGAATAAGCCAAACTACTGACAAATTCCCAACCTGAGCCAACTGCACCTCAGCCAATCACAACAACCTGAAGCGCTTCCTATCCAACGCACTGCCACCTGGAAGGCCATAAGCCAACAGCACCGAAGTGCAAACGGTCATTAACCGGTCAGGCCAGAGGAAAAGGACTGTCATTGGAGAGTGATGGGTCCAGTGAGGAGTCTTTCTCAATCATCTGTGCTAACGGTCCACGACCCACTGCAGCTTAGCCGGAGCGAGCGAACGTGTCAAAAACGAGAGAGACGCCAGAGAAAGCAAGATTCGTGCGTCAAAGAAAACAGGGGGAAATCTGTTAAAGCTGTTGTTCCGGATGAACGAGGCTGAGATTGAATAAGACAGAATCTCTGGCAGGAGGCGCTTCTGGAAAAGTAATGCATCACTATCCTTAAAGGCAGCATGTGCTTCACAACAGCACGTCTGCAAAACACCGTGGGAAGTTCATTAATTCTTAGTATGGATCACCAGAGGATACTTGCGTAATGGAAGGAAAATCTCTTAGTCAATAACTCGCTGAGGGGGGGCTACCCTTCGACCATATGCTGGTAAAATTACAACACAGCTAAAATGGTGCAGATTCAGGCAAAGATGGGCCAACCTTAATCCTGGAAATCTACTGACTAGGGCCTGACTGATGTGAAAATTGTATCGCAGATCACACAAAGAATTCTGATAATCGATAATATAATCCTGATATATGTTTTTAAAATCTGTATAAAACTTACTCCAATAGATTTAGGACAAATCATTTAAAGGAATATATATTATGGGGTTAGTAAGGTCTTGTTCATTATTTAGTGAAGAGACATCTAAATGGTTTATTCACTATATATTCAGCTTTATTCATTTTGAGTCCATACAACCCGCCATGACGTTTCATTTTATTTTTCTGTTTTAAAAATTATGTTAAAATGTACAAATATGTATCACTGCCCTGGGAAAAATATTGAAAGTACATTATTGGACCTTGAAACAACTGTTGTACTTCTTGAAGGTACATTTAATTTGTTACCTTTTTCCAGTATAGGTAATATTTAAGTTTACTGCATTATTGTAGTTCTTCCTCAACAGCTAATAAGAATGTAATAAGTCACTAATACTCCAAATTCTAAAGTACAGTTTTAACTTCCAACACCTACAAACATGCACTGTTAGAAAAAAGGTGCTGTGCAGATACATTTTTTGTTCATCAAGGTACAAACAATGTAAAAGTGCCCTCAAAGCAACAACAGTGGTTATAAGGTCCAATTGTGTAGCTTTTTTTTACCAGGTGAAAAGTATGTCTTTGTTCCTTTTCATAAGCTAATGTTTTAGAACAGAACTGGAGCCTGGAGACGAGACGGGGTGTGTGGAGATAATACAACTCAGAAAATATAATTTCATAGGTTTATGATACAATTATGTTCCTGATTAAAGATACTGAGATGTACCCTTGAGGGCACCACCCCAGGGACAAGAGGGGTACCGCTCTAGTGACAGTTTCATACCTTCACTTCTGAGAATGTATTAGTGAAGTATTCAATCTTTTTGGGAACCAAAACACTAATAAATATGCTTTACATTTATGATTAAATCTGTAAATTAGTGATGCAAATGGACTTGCTGAAAACTAAACATTTTAATATGTAATTAGAATTCAAATTTACATTGTAGAAAACAGAACATCTTAAACTATTAGTGACATTAAACTCTTATTAGCTCAAAAGTAACAAACTGCAGCAGTCAGCCAGACTGAGGAATCAAATGCTGCCAATGTATGCATAAAATTGTCCTGAAGTGTTTGAGCATTATTCCAAAAAAATTACACACACACACAATTGACCACCCACTTCATTGAGTACATATCCTTGTGTCTACACTCACTGTCCATTTTATCAGCTCAGCTTACCATATAGGTGCACTTTCATCTTACAATTTCAGACTGTAGTCCATCTGTTTCTCTGCATACTTTGCACTCTTTCACCCTGTTCCTCGATGGTCAGACCCTCACAAGACCCCCACAGAGCAGGTATTATTTGGGTGGTGGTCATTCTCAGCACTGCAGTAACACTGATGTGGTGGTAGTGTGATAGTGTGTGTTGCGCTGGTACGAGTGGATCAGACAAAGCCGTGCTGAGAGTTTTTAAACACCTCATTGTCACTGCTGGACTGAGAACAGTCCACCAACCAAAAATATCCAGCCAACAGCGTCCTGTGACCACTGATGAAGGCCAAGTGGATAACTAACTGCGCAGCTAAGTCTCTGACTTTACATCTACATGGTGGACCAACAAGGTAGGTGTGTCTAGCAGAGTGAACAGTGAGCGTTTAAAAACTCCAGCAGCACTGCTGTGTCTGATCCACTCATACCAGCACAACACACACTAACATACCACCACCATGTCAGTGTCACTGCAGTGCTGAGAATGATCCACCACCCAAATAATACCTGCTCTGTGGTGGTCCTGTGGGGGTCCAGACCACTGAAGAACAGTTTAAAAGAGAGCTAACAAAGCAAGCAGAGCAACAGATGTTTTGTGGTAAAAACAGATGAAAATGTGCGTAGCAGTGAGTCTGCTAGGCTCATTAACTATAACGGTGAAAAAGGGGCTGTAGTGTGAATAATGATATATTTTATAATTGCCAACAGTCATACAAGTCAGGTCCTGCTACTGACATACAGAACTCTACTGAGCTACAGAATTTAAACCAGCCCTGCTCCAGGAGACTGACCAGTCGTGAAGGGTTTCACTCCAAACCTTCCCTCAAGGATCTACTTTTCTGAAGAGTTGAGCCAGTAATGCTCTGAGATCCCTGTTTAGCTTCAATACAACTTTTTAAAAATTCAGATGCTTCTCAAGATCAGGTGGATCTTAATGGAACCTCTACAGTCACTGTACATACATCACCATTCTAAACACAGGAATCACTTCAAAAGATTGGAATCAATATTTCAACAATATATAATCTATTTGGTTACAAGCAAGTGTTTAAAATAATCTCCTTATGCTAGTCCTGTACAGTTAGTCCTGTGAAGGATCATCTGAAAGCCAAACACAGCTGAATTGCTGGCAATATCATTAACATCAGTAATATAAGCACCAGAGGACACCCTTTGGGAGGCGCTGGATAGTGGTCACGGGACAACCGTGTATAAATCAATGAACAGCAAAGTGGAAAGCACCAGTTCCTCTCGAAGCAAGACGTAAACCGAGAACGAGACGGCCACAGGCAGCCACTGCTGCTCTCACTGGATGTTGGTGATGAAAACTGCCTTCGCTTTATTTTCATGTTCATGTGAATTCATGTTCAGGCTCAAGTAATAAACACATTCTGATGAAGCACATTTTCTGCACTCATATAGCTACAGCAAAATGCACTGATTTTTAAATTGGGAAAAAAAACTCTCCTTAGGGTCATATTTGACCAAATCAATGTAATTAATCAAGATTAACTACACAGACTAGTGTGATTAATCGTTTGACAGTCATGCAATATACTACTTTATTCACTTCTTGTTCACAGAATTCCTGATATACTGAATAAAACATCTAAAAACACCTTTTGTTGTGAGGCTTGTAAAGTTTAAATCCACACTGTATACATTATCACTGTAAGCAAAATAAAAAAAGTGATTGTAAACGTTTGAAGAGCAGTGTACATGTTCGTGTGCGTTAGTTTGGTGAAGTATGTGATCCAGATGCTCGTTCTTACCTGAGTGGTTCTCTGTGTGAGTGGTGAGGTTAATCTCATCAGCCACTGTATGAGAAGCACACACACATTCCAGTGTACAGTTAGTTGCAGGCATTCAACATGCAGCGCCCCCCCCCACAAAACCCACTGACACCCAAATCAGCCAGAACAATCCACCACATTCACCAGCAGTCTAAAACAATAAAAACATGCAGTGTGCAGTGTACTTTAACTGATGCAATCATTCACATTCACACACAGTGTAGCATCAGTCAGACAGTAGAACTGGATTAGACAGCAGCACCAGCATACAGAAGCGTGACTGGGATTAGAGTGAATCAGTGAGATGACTGGAAATGAACAAAGTACATGCACTAAACAATAGTGTTGTAAAAGTCCAGTCTCGAGACCATAAATGAACAGTCTCTGTCTCGTTTCGGTCTCAACTTCATTTGGTCTTTTCTCTGTTTCAGGGTAAGGTGGACTGTTCTTGAGCTCTGCCAAGTGCGATGACTGTCAGAAGTAACTGCAAACTGAGCTTTTTTCTATCATCATTGAACATTAACAAATTGTTCATTAAGAGCTGAACATCTAAATCAAGCCCATACAGCAGGCTGTGGCCTCCAGGCATGAAACTGAGTGATCTGAGTGCACTGGTGCACACGACAGAGCACTAATGTTGTATAGCATTTTATGTTTTAGGAACACTAGCTGTTCTTTATCTTTAGAGTACTAAAGTACAATAACTGTGCCGTGGATAAAGATTTAGAGTACCGAGGTCCATGCTCTTGGACTTGCGGGTCTTGATGATGTCCAGCTGGCTGACATCTCCATACTGTTTAGTGCGCTTCTCAGACATGCTCTGCCTTCCAAAGCCTTCCCTCTGAAACAGCCCAGCATCATCCTCTCCACCTACACTCAGAGAACTGAGAGAGAGAGAGAGAGAGAGAGAGAGAGAGGGAGGTGTGAATTAAAGGCAAAGACAGAAAGAGATAGCGAGAGAGAGAGAGAAAGAAGGATGAAGAGGGAGAGGAAGGGAGAGGTGTGGAGAGAACGAGAGAATGAAAGAAATAGCAGTAAAGAGGGAAAGAAAGGGAAAGAGAGAGAGAGAAACAAACAAAAAAAAACCAGAAAATATAGAGATAGGAAAATGAGGAAAGCAAAGACAAAGCACAGAGAGGAGCAACAACGGCAAGAAGAGGAGTCAAAGTGATCCAAAAAGAGGAGTGAACGAGAAAAAAATACTGAGGTGAACAGCATTCTTAAATCTAGAGGCTCAGTTACTGTGTGAATGTAATCCTCTCATTACCATGCAGAAACTCAGACTTTACAGAATGAAATCTTTTCATTAGCATTTACAAAGTCTACATTTAAGGAATCTGTTATTGAAACACTTCAACGTTGTGAAGAGAATACAGCTGAACTGCTCATTAAAAGATGGATACGATTTTAAGGGGCCATATTCCACATTCAATATATACAATACATGTATTTTTCCTCTAAAGTCAGCTTATAACATTTGCATGTTCTTTTATGTTCCAAAAACAGTCACAACTGATTGTTACGTGACCATTTTCCAACCTCTCTTTATCCCTCAGAATTAAACAAGCAATTTGTGTTTCTGTGCCTTTAAGTCTGATATACTGCGAGGTCCAGAAGTCTGGGATCACTGAGGAAAGTGCTTCTCTTTTTTTTCATAGCAAATTCTATGATCAGCATAACAATTGGAGTGAAAAGTAGAATCTTTAAATGTTTACATTAATTTCAGAATTTCCTAGTATTTTCTAGCAAAAGTTCCTCTTCTGCTTTAATGACAGTGTGCACTCAAGCCGGCATGGACTCCAAAAATTTGTGCAAAAGCCTGAGAGATCACTAAATAAAATCCACCTGACAGTTGTCTGTTTCAATGAAAGGAATAAGACTAAAAAAATCTGACCTTTTAGTACAAAGTCCTTAACATTACACATTAGTGCAGAAACTTGAATATTTCTGTCATTTTAATTGTCACACATTTTCTTTGTTTTAAAATTTCAAGATTCTGAAACTGTGCTGGTTATTTCTGGGTTTAAATGGGGGAAAAAACACAGATTTTTAATGTGGTCTCAGACTTTTGAACTCTTCTGTGAAGAAGTTCTCACTTGTGATTGGGTGCCCTGTACCTGTACCATGCCTCGTTCAAAATGCAGCCAAGGCAGGCACACATTTACTGAACAACCTGTTAAGTGCTGAAAATTCAGGGGGAAAAAAACTTGAGCTACTCCATTCAGATGTCTTTGGAAAGCTGTAATAAATTAGGAAGTTTAATCATTTTCTTCCACTCGAGTAACCACAGACTGTCTGCAGTAACAACACTCCACATCACTTCAACATCATAAGTAATATGAATCATATGTAAACATATTTAATGTTAACAAATTTAAAATGCGTTGTTTGTGCAGCTTAGTCTTCATGTATGCACTGTATGGACTGAGGAGTGATTCATGCTTTAACAATATTTCTGTAATGTCACAAACACTACAGCTACATTTCAAACAAACAAGGAGAATTCGGTTTCCTCTACCTGTCATTCTGAACGGGCACGTCCTGAATCCAGGATGGCTGCGTTTCCACAACGAAAGCCATGTCGTCATGGGAACTGGACGAGGATTGGTCAGAGAGGTGGGCAGGAAGAACAGGTGGCCTATCGTCTTCAATTATGACCGTATCATCCTGAGGCATGTTGACTGTAGGAGAGAGCTGATAGTGACCTAGTGAGAGAGAGAGAGAGCGAGAGAGAAAGAATGAATGTTAGAAACAATGCATTATCAAAACATACTTGAATACAGTTACACATGGAGCAAGACAAACAGTCTGAATGAAACATCCTCATCGTAAATTCAGCAGACGAGAGTCCACCCCAGTGGCACAGCTGGCTAAGAGGGTTACGTCCTATTACTGAACCGAGTGTGAATCACAAATGCACCTCAGTCATCCGTGACTGGCTGCCCAAAAGAACACAACAGTTCTGCTCTCTGCAATATTTAGCATAGCATGAGCTCAAAATATCCAGACTCTTCTAATAAGCCAATACAGCAACATTCACCTGCACACACAGCTTGTATGACCTCATTAGAAAAGCATTACCAATAGAATTGGAAGCTCTGGAGCAGCCGCAGATGAACCTAAGGTCATCATGCCCAATGCCAAATCACTCTGTCAATTAATCAGGTCTGGATCACTGCTTATTGTAGCTGCACATAAAACCACTGTGTTTTCACTTTATAGATATTCGACTGAATTGGTTCAAAGTTAGAAAGAGTTAAAAACACATTTTGGACTTAACGAACTTTAGACTAAAATCTTTTTGCTTTAAAAATAAATTATTTAACACTCCATTTTGTCACTACCAAAACAATGGTAACTACTACTACTGTTTTGGTAGTGACAATTTTAACTAACTTTGAGCAGAACACACAAGCCAGTACATGACTAGCCAACACAGCTTTGACAGTTATACGCTCATAAAATCATATTATCTTTATTAAAACACAAAAAGGTTTGTTTAGGTAGTGACAATTCCTAAAGTTACATACTGATTTTTAGACTCTGGGACACGTTTACTTTAAAACTATGGGATGGAACAGGGATGCAGTCTCATTTCCAGCTGTAAAATGCAGGGGCGTGGCTAAAACAATGCTCCACCTACATACTAAAACTGTGTTTCGGTAGTGACAGACATTTTTGGAGTAAAGTTTTTTTTATTTACAAATGAAACTCATGAAAAATCTTCAACTTAAAGACATAAATCAAATCAAATCAGTTATTTTAAAAACACACAAGATTTTTAACTCTATGTTGTGCAGGTATCCAGGAAATGACACTTAACTGCAGTGTGTCATTTACTTGGTTCTATGGAAAAATCATGCAAAATCCTTAAAAATTAAATAAAAAGTGCATTTCTTTCTGCTGTGTGGTCTGGTTAGTGCTGACAGTATTGAGCCAGACTTCCTTTGCTGTCATTTTAAAAGAAGAAAATGGAACAAAACAGTGCAACTAAAACAAGCTGTCAGGTGTGTAACACATTCTCTGAGTATACAGTAGCACGGAGTAGCAGTAGACGGAGTCTTTGCCTTCATTCATGCTAACTCATTAACTTTATTCAGTTCACCATGAGATATTTGTGTATTAACATCACAATACAGAGCTGTATCAGTTTTGCCAAGACATACACACAGACTTCAGTCTTAATTTGACTGGAAATACATCCTTCTTCCCTCAATCTCCCCCTCTGTCTCTGAGCACATTAACATGCATGCCAGCGGCGGACTGCACGGCTACTTTTGTATATCCATTTTCTACACTGCTGCATTCACAATGATACCAGAGCATGTGTGTGAAAGAAAGAGAGAGCGAGAGAGGAGAGAGAGAGAGAGAGAGAGAGAGAGAGAGAGATACATGGACAGAGAGAGAATAGAGAGAGTAAGAATGAAAGCAGTAAATAGAAAAAAATAGAAATAAAGAGAAAATTAAAAGAAAAAGAGACAGGGAGAGAGAAGAGGGAGACGTAGAGAGAGTACGAGAGGATAAAAAAGACAGAAAGAGAGAAACTGAAAGAGAGAGAGACAAAAAAGAGAGACAGAGAAAGAGAAAAGAGAGGCAGAAAGCAAGAATGGAAAAGGCAGAGAATGAAAAGAGAAAGAAAAAATGAGAAAAGAGAGTGAGAAAGACAGAGGGGGAGAGAGGTAGAGAGAGAAAAGAGAAAAAGAAAGAGAGACAAAGAATGAAACATGAGAAAAAAAGAAAAAGAAACAAAGAAAGAAAAAGAGAAATAGGGGGGGGGGGGCACAAAGGATAGTGCTTGTGTTTTTAATCAGAACACAGATGTATCTGGCAGAGAGAGAGATTTTCCACCTCAATCTGGACAGCTGTATAGAGGAGCGAGAGAGAGAGAGAGAGAGAGAGAGACAGTAGGGTAGAGATTGACAAAGAAAGAAAGAAAAAAAGAAAGAAAGAAAGTAAGAGAGAGAGAGAGAGCGAGACAGAGAGACAAAGAGCAAGAAAGACAGAGAGTGAGAAAACGAGAGAGAGCGCGAGAGAGTGACAGAGTGAGAGAGAGAGAGTGTGAGAGAGAGAGAGTGAGAGAGTGACAGAGTGAGAGTGAGAGAGAGAGAGAGAGTGAGAGAGTGACAGAGTGAGAGAGAGAGTGTGTGAGAGAGAGAGAGAGAGAGAGAGAGAGTGACAGAGTGAGAGAGAGAGAGTGTGAGAGAGAGAGAGAGAGTGACAGAGTGAGAGAGAGCTGACGAGAAGACTGTGAGTGGATGTTTTTGGTTTGTTCTGTAAACAATTAACCAAACCAGCATGTGCGAGTTTGCATTGTGCACCACACAGACAGAACACAGTGGACACAGTGATGCGCCCGCTGCCTGTCTGCGTGGTCAGTTTATCCCCCGCTGTGTCTGTTTGGTTAAATCTTCACTACTCTGAGACTGAAAGCCCCAGACACACACGTACACACACACACACACACACACACACACACACACACACACACACACACACATACTCACACACTGCCCTGACAAGCCTGTCACTTCATGCTTTAACCACAAGGCATCACACCTCAGGAGGGGTCCTTGAACCACCATATGCCTCTCCAGCTTCTCTCCAGCCCTTTAGGTGTCTTCCTGTCTGCCTGTCCAAAAGTCTGACTCTGAGACAGTGGTTAGTAGAGCCTGAAGATTACAGTAAATGAACTGCATATGAAGTCAAAACGAAACTAGCCACCACCAACTAAATAAAACTCCACATTCAGAATGAAACCAGCTGCAAAATGAGAGAGTGAGAATGAAAGAAAGAGGGAGAAAAAAAAGAAGAGAGAAAGAAAGGGGGGAAAATAAACAGAATAGAAAGAGACAGGGAGAGAAATGAGAGAGGTAGAGAGAGTGAGAGAGGGTGGGAAAAAGACAGAGAAAGAGAAACAGAGAGAGAGACAAAAAGTGACAGATAAAAAAAAAGAAAATTCTAATGTTCCAAAATTAAGTTTAAATCTCACAACACTCTGTAAGATTGGGAGATTTGGAGGCCTCTTTGGTGGAAATCTGTAATTGCACCCAATGTGTGGAAGCAGATTTTGGATCGTTGGTTCAGAACCCCTTCCTGAGCGGATGAATCTGATGTTTGCGAGCTGAGTGGAAAGAGCAGTCAAAGAGAACTGACCTTCTTTCTGAGTTTGTGCATGTGATGTAAAGACGTATGACATGCTCTGAAAAACTTTGCAAAAGATTGCAAAATCTGTCCTGGTACCTCTGACATTTATATGATCATTCAGGCTCTACAGGCTGCCTAGCAGTGGCACACATGCAGCATATTTTCAATGTGTTCTTTTTTCTCCGTACTCAGTAAAGCTACTTCTGTCAGTTTTAACAAAAATATTACACAGTTCTGCTTTAAGATGTGACTGAGGTGCCAAGTTCCTCTAAAACAGGTACAGCATAAAACAAATTAAGCCCTGGCTTGACGACTACGCTCTAAACGCAGTGTTGCTTCTGGAACGCATCACCACGCTGCTCACGCAGCCCGTTTAAATGCTTAAACCTGTTAACGTGTGCCGAAGTGAAAAGTAAGACATTGCACATTGCTTGCACCACACAGAGGTGGTGTCTGCAAAACAGGCCTGAGACCACTGTTATCACAATCTACAGTGGGCTTAGAACGGATGATTCAGGTACCTGATACTTCAGATACATTACGAGATGAAAACACTACACTGTGCTAGACAGCAGCTCAAGGAAGAACCGGAATAAACGATTAAACATCAATATCGCCTGTACTGGGAGAGAAATATTACCATCAATCACATTAGCTTTAGCAGAGAAGCTCAGAGTAAAAGCTTTCCGTCTGCCCTCAGATTGGTATAACAGTTTAGAGAATCAGAGTTTTAAAGCAGGCCATTAATGCTGTATTTGGGTTATTACTGCAGTCTGGCCTGCACTAAAACTCCCGCACAGCTAAACAAGGCGTCTGCATGTGTGTCTGCTGGGGGGCGTACCGAACAGAAGCCAGTGTGTGTGTGTTGTCCTTAAAGCTGTCTATATGAGAGACGGGAATTGGCGCCGATATCCTGCGGCGGCTAGAATTTGATCTACTCATGGGAAATCCAGACATGCTGTTTTGCTGAGAGCACTCAGGGTGGGAATGTTCTCCAAACAGGACCCAAGAAACACACTCACAAGTCCACAAGCTACTCAGAGAAACAAAACAAAAAACAAAACTCTATAAGTGTGATCTGGTGAAAAATCGAGTGGCCCTTCTTTACATTAGTGTCAGGTTTAAGCTAAACCTGTTCTAAACGATACCAGCTGTGGTGAAGTTCAGAGCAGAGTGGCCTTAAAGGAATATTTCAATGAAACATCAACTTTCCGCCGTTAAAGCAGAAGGTTGAGTTTTCACTGAAATATTACTAGCTGACCTCAACCCTGATATGATTTAAATATGCAGAGAAAAGATTCCAGTTACCTCAGATGGAAGCACTGCACTCCGCTGGTCCACCTTACTCTGAGATCAAGACCGTTAATGTACACTCTCAAGACCAAGACCGGACTCGTGAAGTATAACACTACTTCTTATGATAACACATTTCATTTTTGTAGCCAAAACTCAGGTTTATCCATTTTTAGGCAAAAGAATACATTTTGGGGGGCTTGCTTACAGGGCTGGGGGCCAGCTAGCTAGTAAGCATACTTAGCCTACTTTATTATTGCCAAATCGTTAGGAAATTACTCACTCACCCATTACCATAACCAAGGGGAACATTTGTGGAACACAACACATGATTACCTTGCATACTTGATTACCTTGCACTACCTAGTTAAGCTACTACAACAACTGCATAAATAACCAGACAACAATAACAGCATAATTAACCAGACGACCACCTTCTACAGCACTAAGCATACAGGTCTAGGGAGAACGGTTAAGATTGTGATCTTATTATGCTTCATTTTATTTACTTTTCCACATTCAGCTACTTCTACAGTCACATGCAAGTTTAGACAAATTATATGTTTTGCTGAAAATAAAAATCCTCTATACAGAACACGTCCGCACACTTTAATCCACAATTACTCTTTATTTGCTTAGTTCAGCACCGTTTTGGCACATATTAGGTTTGTTTCCAATATGTTAAACTCTGCAAATACATAGAAACTGTGCACTAAAATTTGCAAAATAAAAGCCATATTTAAGTTTGGTCACTGTAGAAATGTGTTAACAAAACATGCAATTTTACCAGGGGTGTTCAAACATTTTCACTCAATCAACAGCAGCAGGAATTGTACAAACATTTCTGCGTTCTGTGAAGATGTAAGAATGTGTTTTTTACATTAACCTTATATTCTATAACATTTTCATCAGCAATCAACAATCTCAGAGAGTTTAGGGATTCCCCTTGTAGCTCCTGGTTGATGAGTATACGCTTCCATTACTTGTGGGTAAAGCTGGCCCAAACAGCATTTTACAGGCTTCGAACACTCACTGGTATTTCAGAACGCACACTCAATAACGCATTCTCAAAATAACCTTTAAGAACAATGACATACATTTCATAAATAGCCATAAATTTAAGTATGTTTGTTACTGCAGCTCAAAATATATCCGGTAGGCAGCAACCGTGTATTAACAGGCCAAAGCTCATCTGCTCACATGCTTATTGTTGCTATTATAGAATCTGCAACTGATGCCGTCTCATTGAAATATGACTCACTTCTATCATTTGAATATGATTTATGAGTCATTTGTTTTTGAGCTTATGAGCCGTTTTGTTTTATCAAGTTATTTTATTTGGCTAGTTCGCCATGTTTTTAATCATGGAAAGCGGCACTTACCAGAGCTTAGTAATACTTGGGTAAGTACAGTTATACTTACACATTTGAGATCATTCATCCATTGAAAGCCAGCCTCTTATTACATATTTGCACTGAGCATTTTCTTATCTTCCAACACTGTGTAAAATGCTCAAATTGTAAGTTGCTCTGGATAAGAGCATCTGCCAAATGCCGTAAACGTAAATGTACAAAACTGAAGAGGCTAACTTTACGCAGTAAGCGTATCTTGACTGATCGACTACACTTGGGCTAAGAGAAAAACTGTGTAAATTAACACTGATTTAAAGCAATCTCTATTTTGAGCTACACCACAACCAGGGTGGTCCTAAGAGTGCCTCCTCAAGACAAGAGTTTGGAATCCTGACACTGCTGTGAGGAAAGGCCCTATGGAGGGAAGCAGGATTTTCCCACGTGCCACAAGAGTTTACAACATTAACGGAACTTACCCAGCCCTCTGCTGGCCATGTTGTTGCGGGGTCTCAGGTTATCATCCAGTCCCTCGATGCCGTAAAGTGTGTGAGAGATCCGCCGCTCGTGATCGTCCAGAGATGGACTCAGGGTCTGTTCTGGCCCGCGTGGACTGCATGGCGTTTCACCCTGACAAACGCAAAGACAGCAAACACAAACACAGCAAGTAGTAGGACATCCATAATGCACAACAGGTTACATAGATATATTGGTCTAACCATTTTGAACTAGCGTTATGAACTAGCATTAATACACACTGGTGGACACCGAGTAAATGAACACAAGCTCAAAAGATAACTGGATCAGACTTAACAGCTACAACCTATTTAGTAGTCTAACAGCGAAAAGCGCATCACAAAACAAAAACATTTACCTTCTACTGCCCCACTATAAAAATCTGGTACAACAGATAAACTGGTGTTTAAATTGATATTTAAAGCAGGCAATATTCCTTAAACAGCAATTACAGCATGTATGTTTTTTTTCCCAATAGAACCTGTTTGTAATATGCTATTTCAGAAAATGAATGTGCTTCTAACTTGGCCATATTCTCCTGTGTGGTTTCAGGATGTAGGATTTGATGAACATGTTTGTGTTGGTAACATGATATTGCAGTGCATGATATCAGTGTACACAGAGATTTTGTCATGTTGTGGTTTATGTCTGTGGTTTCAGTGTGAAGGACTTGATGACCATGCTGGTTTGTATGCAGCTCCATATGTGCAGTGGTAAAAGGACAAACTGGTCAGACGAGTTTGCGGTGTGTATGCCCATGCTGCTTACTTACTTCTGATTGGCTGGGGCAATATGCAGAATCACAACAAAAATAAAGCTGCAAGAGGCATGGCATTAAAGTGATTTTACCATGGTTAAGGAGTGTTAATAGGCACAATGCAAAGCTTATATGAAATGGCAACAAAATACTATATGACAACATACACCAATGCTCAACAGACACAAATCCAACTCCAAAGTTAGGACAGGAAGGTAACATTCAAATAAAAATAGAATGCAGTGACTTTTCCTTGAAAACAGCACAAAGACAAGATATTTAATTTTTCAATTAATTAACTTTTTTCATTTGAGAACTGAGGACAGCAATTGTAGTTGTGAAAAAAAGATTTCTCGTCCTCATTCTTGCTTGATAACACAGTCTGTTGTCATATAGAGCGCTACATAAATGTGCCACACGTTTTTAATGGGAGACAGTCCTGGATAGTGCAGGCTAGTGCCTGTACTCTCTCACTATGAAGTCACGTTGTTGTAACACATGCGGAAAACAGCTTGGCAATGTCTTGCTGAAACAATCAGCAAGTTGTTGTTGGGGGAGACATTGTCTAGATGGCGGTATATGCTTCTTCAAAATCTATATGCACCCCTATGCATTAATATTGCCTTCACAGATTTGCCAGTCACATCTTTACAGATGTGCAAGGGGCAAGGACTGGGCCTTTGCTGGATGCCCCTTTTATACCAAAGCATGACTGCATCACCTGTATAATATGGTTTTTGGAACACTGCATGACGTTAAATTTTCCGTTTCCTAACGTTTGCAGGCCTGATGTTGCAGAATGAGTATAAATTTACAAAATACATAAAAATAATAATAAAGTTCAACAGGTAAAACATCAAATATCTTGTCTTTACAATATTTTCACTTAAATAAGAGTAAAAGTGAATTCACAAAGATCTTGATATTTTAATATATTATTAGTAACAATCACAAACAATTCTTTTGTCAAGTAGTGCAGTCTGTTAAAAGTAGACTATGGTTGGCAAGCAATAACTGTCAAAGATCATTCCATGGACAACACAGTGGTTAGTAACGTGGTGCATTGATGCAAAATCCAACCAATGAGTGCTGCCATATGTGCATGTATCATGCATCCTACAGTATAGCTCAAGCTGTTTAGCCGTTTTTGTTCTCCCCTCCCTTTATTTTTCCTGTTCTTCAACTATTTTTCTTATGCAAGTCCTACAGTTAAACACCAAACCTCAAGGGACAACCACAACAGTTATGAATTACAGGATGGCTTTGTACAAGTATGCCTGTGTGTGTAAGGGTAATATGTTTTGTCCCCTTAGATTTCCTGCTGATATTCCCAGAATGCCTCAGGGGAATAAGTGTGATGTGCAAAATACTGTGACCTCATTGGCTGGTCTTAAATCATATCTATTCCAGAACGGGTATTCTCTAGAGGGCAGCAACATGACAGAACAAACCACTACCTCACTGTATTTATCAGACATCAGATATTGGGTTTATGGGTAATCCAAATAAAATGGTCCAAATTATCTGCTCTAAAAATCTGAACATGGTTGCGTCTCTATCTTTATCAGATATTACCAGATACTATGGATAATCTAACTGACCTACAATTTAATTTAAAAAAAAAAAAAACTTGGGCATCTCTAAATGGTTGCGTGGTAGAGTTATATTCTGTAATAACACAAAAGAATACAGAGAAATGTTAAAATCAATATCTTTAATTTGCTCAGTGAAATAAAAAAACAGCACATTAAATATTGGCTTTCTCAATGTATAAATATTACAATAGTTGAGAGAGCAAACACATTTAATGGCGCTTTGGCATAATTTAAAAAGGTATTATAATCACATTTTACATAATTCCACACAAGCAACCGCGTCAAGAGTCCAGGGAATAAAATCCATTCTTCCGAGTGCTCCTCTCTCTCTATAGTGCAGCTTATATTTCTCTTGTTCTCTTTCTGTGGTCTGACAGGTGTCATTTTTTCCCATAATTCCACACAAGCAACCATTTTAAAGAGTCCAGAGTCAATAAAATCCATTCTTCCAATGTTCCCCTCTTTCTATCGCCTTTTCTCTGAGGTCCGCATGAATTCACGTATCCCTCTCTGTCTCGCTCTAGCATTAGATCTCTCTGTTAGTCTGTACTGTCTAATATCTCCTTTTCTTGATAGTATCTCATCTCTTTGTCTCCAGTATGCCACAGTCTCTGTCTAGAACCAAATCTTGCTACCTCTCCATCATGTCTGATTTCTCTCTCTCTGCTGCTCCTTCTCTCTGTAACGTCTGTTCTCTTGCTCATTCTTATCAAATCTTTGTCTCCTCTCTTTCTTTTTACTTTGATCATATCTCCATGTACCTGTTTCATGTGATCGGTCTTCACCTCTGTGGTATCTGCTGTCTGGTTGATCCATTTCTCTGTAGTGTCTGATCTCTCCTTCGTTACTGCCTGACCTTTCGCTCAGTCTCTCTCTAGAATCATATCTTTCTGCTTCTCTGTAACGTCTGATCTCATTCTTATTACTGTCTGATCTCTCTTCAAGTCTCTCTCTAGAATCATATCTTTCTGCTTCTCTGTAACGTCTGATCTCATTCTCATTACTGTCTGATCTCTCTTCAAGTCTCTCTCTAGAATCATATCTTTCTGCATTTCTGAAGTGTCTGTCTGATCTGTCTCCAAGTCTCTCTCTAGAATCATATCTTTCTGCATCTCTGTAGTGTCTGTTCTCTCTTTCATTAATGTCTGATCTCTCTCCAAGTCTCTCTCTAGAATCATATCTTTCTGCATCTCTGTAGTGTCTGATGTCTCTCTCATTACTGTTGGATCTCTCTCCAAGTCTCTCTCTAGAGCCAAATCTTTCTTCTTCTCTGTAGCGTCTGATCTCATTCTCATTACTGTCTAATCTCTCTTTAGAATGGTATCTTTCTGCATCTCTGTAGCGTCCGATTTGTCTGTCATTACTGTCTGACCTTTCTCTCCATTTTACTCTTCCAGTAGTGGCAAACTTCACCGTTCTTTTCTCATTTGGACTGTCTTTCGGTCTATAGTGTCTAATCTCCCTCTCATTACTGTCTGATCTCTCTCCCAGTCTTTCTCTAGAGTCATATCTTTCTGCATCTCTGTCATGTCCGATTTGTCTCTCGTTACTGTCTGACCTCTTTCTCCATTTCTCTCTCTCAGCAGTACTAAACTTCACCACCTCTCTCTTTCTTTCACCACTGTCTGATCTCTCTTTCCTTCTCTCTCTTTTACTTGTGTCATATCTTTTTGTCCCTCCCTCATTTGGTCTCTCCTCCTCTCCTCCATCTGGTTTCTCCATCTCACGGTAATGTCTGATCTCACCCTCGTCACTGTCTGATCTCTTTCTCCATTTGTCTCTTTTTCTGGTGTCATAGCGTTCTTCCTGTCTGTAGTTTCTGCTCTTACTTTCTTCCCAGTCTGATCTCTCTGTCTCTTCGCTGTCTGAACTCTCCGTCTCATATCCGATTACCTCATTGCGTTTGCTCACTCGTCTCGCCACAATCAGCTGGATCATTCCTCGTTTGTTGCCCTCCGTTGACATGGACTTTCGCAGTGTTTCCATGGCGTCATGATTGGTTTTCCCTAACAACGACTCTCCATTAACAGCAATGAGCTGGTCATTCACTCGCAGTCTCCCATCCTGCAGCAGTGCAAAAACAATGGAAATTCTCAACACCAAGATCAGATATTCCAAACCACAACACCTCTGCAACAGCCACATAATTAGCAAAATGTGTACAAATGTGACATTAGATAACTGACTTCCAGACTAAAACCACCTGAGGCTATGTTACCTGGACATAAGGGCTTTCTTCAAAACAACATCTACAACTAACAAGGCCAATTAGGACTGCTTGCAGACAGGTAATATTTTATGCTCCCTTCCGTTCCTTTCACTGCGCTATGTTGGATTTTATAAGCAGTAGTAGATTAAAGTCAGGACACCTGTGCCCTAACACAGTAACTGTTCCTGAAAAATTCTAATACTGTCAATAGCATGTATTCAGCTGTTTTTCCTCTCTCATAAAGCAGCTGATGATACTGTAGAAAAGCTAGAAGTTTGACTGCAGGTCATAAGGTGAAGGCTACACATCTTTCAAAGCACACCTCTATCTCTGCCATCAATGGGCAGCTTCGAAGAGAAGCTTTCTTTACTTGTCAAATTCTGTGAACATCAGCAATGACCTTATGAACTGTTTTGGATGTTTTCTGTTTCTCTGTATGTGTGTACGTCTTGCTATCCTTCTGAGGACTACATGATAGGACAACATGACTTTTTTGCTTAGGTGAGGACACTTTGCTGGTGTGTTATTTTGTTATTTTCACCACAAATTATTTTGTTTTGGAGAAGAGCAGATTTATTTTTTTTTTGGATACTGAGGTCAAGGTAAGGGTTAGTTTTAGGTATAGTATTAATTGGTCACAGAAATAAAAAAAAAAATCAATAGAAACCTATGGGTGTCCTCACAAGGAATGTAAGACAAGACTGTTTGTGCGGGTGTATGTATGTGTACACAGGCGTGGTTGCAGATGAGCGAGCATGTGTGTGATCTGGTTTCACCTTGCAGGCAGCTCCTCCGTTGATAATGGACTTGACAAAGATTCCGAGGTCAGCGTGGTTTTCCTTTGACCTGTTACCCTTGACGCTGACCCCTAACCCTGCCGACCCTGAGTCATTCAGGGGCACCTCCAACGTCAGAAACTCTCGAGTACCATCAGGGGTCAACACTAGCTCCTCTTCCACCTGGAGACAGGAAGAGAAAGAAAGAGAGAAGGGTGTAAACGTACTGAGGTGTGACTTAAAAATATGTACAAATGAGGTGTGTTTACTTCATTAACTGATATAAAGATGTTGCGTAAGGCTTGGAAATCACTGAAATAACTTGTATATGTTTGAGGAGAAAGTTGGGTTTATTAGAGATGCCCTCGTACAGATATGCTAACAGGTCTAACATGTTCTTTTTCTATCACTTCTGAGCAGGACTAGCCAAGTTCTCCTGGCTGACTCGCCAAAGGTTAATTGAGAAGAATACTGAGTTTGCCAGTTATTAGGAATAAACTGGACTGACTTGTGCATGTTTTAAGGAGAAACTGGGGTTTATTACAGATGCCATCCTATAGTGATGTTCACAAGTCAAGCATGTACTCTTTCTCCCAGGCCTGAGCAAGAGTACACAAATGTTTTGGAGAGTGTAGTCCTTGCCGGCTCAGCAAAGTTTAAATTAGATTTTTTTCAATATAGGGATGTTGAGTGAGTCCTTGAAGTTCTTGAGAATAAGCTACATCAAGTCATTGTATGTTTGAGAAAAAAGCTGCATTTATTAAAAAAGTCCTCTTGCAGAGAAGTTAACAGGACAGGCATTTAAACTTTCCCAGCTCTGAGTAAAGGCACATACAGATTACAGAGACCATCATCTCCTGGCTGGCTCACCAAGGGTTAAATTTTGTTTGCAAAATTTTTTGTGAAGTTTGCAAATTCCTATGAATAAACTAGATTCACTTGTGCATGTTAGAGGAGAAAGTTGGGCTAAGTACAGATGTCTTCGTATAGAGATGTTCACAACTCAAATATTTCCTTTTTATTCCAGTTCAGAGCAGGAGTACAAACAGATTACACAAAGTATACCTCCTGGCTGGCCCAATTATAGTGTTGGCATTTCCCAATTCTAAATCTACACAAGGTTACGCACAAATGCCAAAAAGGGACACGGAAGAGCATTCTGAGAGAAACACAGGCACTTGTGTACGGGGAATAAGCATATACAACACTAAAGAAGTGGAAACTTGAGTTTTAAAGAAATAAGTGTAAATGTATGTAGTCTATATGCTGTAAATCTTTTTTTTAATTAATGAATGTCCTTAATATTATGTTACTTTATACTTGCATTCTCAACCATTGTAAGCATTAGGGGTGTGACGGAACGGTCTTTATCCTGAATCATCACGGTACGAATGTTACAGTTCGGTGCATGCAGCTATACAGTGAATACACAGTATGTATGAAGACTAATGAACATAATGAGGAACCAAATTTCACAAGAGTTCCACCAGGAAACCTTAAGCTAAGTTAGTACTAGTGATCTGCAAAGGAGCCTACATCTGCATCTAACACCAAATCATTCAGTCTACTGAGAGTTCATAACAGCAGCAGCATCAGAATTCCTGACTCCCAATCAGCTGTGAGGCTGAATTTGAGGAGTGTGAACACTGAGCGAGAGGTGAGGAAGGCCTCTATCTGGTTAAATAAAAAGAGGGGATTTTGAGAAAAAAAGCTCTAGACAGATGGGCACAGAACAAATTCAATCAATTTGAGCAAATCTCATTTTTCAGAAGCTGCTTGCACTAGCCTGCTTGAACATAATCACACAAACAGACCAAAAAGCACTCGTTTAAATGCACATCTGAATCACATCCAGGGGAAAAATCCTTGCTGTTTTGGGTTTTTTTTTTTTGGTTTTTTTTAAGCCATTGAACATTCTTTTCACAGATTCCCTCTCAGTCACGCTGTGTCACTCTGTTCGTATTTGTGAAGGTAACACAGACTTTACTTTCTGTGAAGCACAGAATCCTTTTGAAGAAGGGCACTAGCACAGATTTTTTTTTAGAAGTTTTTTTTTCTCATCCCAAATACACCCTTATCCACTTATCCTGACCTGCCTGCGCAGGGTGTGTGCGCAAGAACACACGTGACATCATCCTGCACTGTAAACAAAGATTTTAGAGCAGGAGTGTGTGTGTAATAGAAGGCACTCATGCAAAACCGCTCTGCTGTTTGCCAGCCAGTGTGAGAAGCTACACCATGAATACCAAACACCTGCTCTCTGACACACAAAGAGCCTGAGGATGTGTGTGAACGAGCGAAAACGTTCAGACGCTCTCTTTTGTCTCCATCTCTCTTTCTCTGACATACACAGAGTGCATTAATAACACAATTACTTCCTTCCATCAACTGCTGGTATGTGCTTGCGTATTAGAATGAGAGAGAGAGAGAGAAAAGAAAAAGAAAAAGGCAGGGAGGGAGAAAAATAGGGAGAGGGTAAGAAAGAGAAAGTATAAACGTGACACAGAGAGAGAGAGACAATATCACAGGTGTCAGTTCTAACAAGCAGCAATTAAGGAAATTGCTCTAATCCTCTAAAATCAGTCTGTATGACAAAGTCACTACACTCTACACAACAATTCAGCGAGCGCACGTGTGGCGTTTCCTTCTTTCACTGCATCTCCCTTGACACTCCAGTGTGTGTGAATGTTTTCTGTGCTTGTCTCATTTTGTTCAGTCTTACTCTGCTGCTGCTACTGCGGCAGATCTTATCAGCTTTAAAAAGTTAATGCATAGTGTGTGTGTGTGTGTGTGTGTGTGTGTGTGTGTGTGAGTCGTTATCAAAGTGTCTGTGCAACTGAGAGCTCTACAGGCGATTACACTGTTCTACAGAGAGGATTACAAAGCCTGATAGCATCTGCCTACTAATACGAGAGAACGAGAGAGAGCAAGAGAGACAGACAGAGAGAGGGGTATAGACTGAAAGACAGAGAGAGAGAGAGAGAGAGAGAGAGAGAGAGATAGAGACTGAAAAAAGACGGAGAAAGTGATAAGAAGACAATAAGATAGAGAGGGAGAGGGGAGAGAGAGGTATAGAGAAAGAAAGGGATTGAGGGCAAGAGACAGTCAGAGAGAGAGGTATAGACTGAAAGAGAAAGACAGAAAGCAAGAGAAAGAGAAAGACAGGGAGAGGTATAAATTGAAAGAGAGAAAGAGAGGGAGAAGGAGAGAGATGGAGAGGTACAGAGTGAATGAGAGGGAGCATGAGAGGGATAGAGGGAGAGAGACAGAAAGAGAGAAAGATATTGAGAGATATAACAGATTGAAAAAGAAAGATGAAGAAAGAGATGAGAGAAAAAAGAAAGAAGGGAGAGGTAAGGAGGAAAAGAGAGAGAAAGAAACCGAGGGGAATGGGGAAAATGAAGAAGTACAGAGGAAAAAGAGAGAAAGGAGTCAGAGAGAAAGAGAGACAGAGACAGAGAGAGAAACAGAGACTGAGAGACAGACGGGGCGAGAGAGAAGCATGGAGACAGAAAGAGAGAGAGAGGGTGAGACAGAGACAAAGAGAGAGACGGGGTGAGAGAGAGACATGGAGACAGGAAGAGAGACAGAGAGAGAGACAGGGTGAGAGAGAGAGAGAGATGGGGTGAGAGAGAGACAGACATGGAGACAAAGGGAGATTGAGCTAGTCATCATGAGTGCTTGATGGAATCTGAAGTTTCATTTACGGAAAGAACACAAGCTTACGGGAACCAAACCAACCCACCATGCCATCACCGCGGCAACACACCCACAGCCCTCTTACTGGCAGCAAACCCACTGATCTCTGCTATTAGCATTTAGCGCTAATCTAACATTAAAAAATTATGGAGGATAATGGGCAAGACTGACAGACCTCAATAACACCCATTATCCTCTACAACAGTGTTTGCCAGCCCAGTCCTTAGGGACCCTCAGACAGTTCACATTTTTGCTGCACCAGGTATTCAGAGCTCTTCCCTGCTTGGTTCAGCTGAAGCGTATAGGGGTCCCCATGGACTGGATACCAGCGTATTGCTTGTTAACTGTTATCATGGTACACAATGTCTGTAAAACACTATTAAAGTGCAGCTACATGAAAAAGTTTGAAAACTCCTGGTCCGATTACACGTTCTGTTGATTTTCAAAACGAAAATATGTTAACACACATTTACAGAGAACCAACTTCAGCACATTTTTATAGACAGTTTCTGTTTATTTGCTGAGTTTAACATATTGGAAAAAATAAAACAAAATATGTTAAATCCAGCAAGTAAACAGTAACTGTGCATTAAAATGTGCTGAAGTTTGTTCTCTGGAAAAAGGTGTGTTAACTTATTTTCAGCACATTATTTGCCTACTTTTGCACACATGGCTGGCTAAAATGCTAACATTGCTGACATCCAACTGAGTAATATGCTAACTACTGGGCTTCATCTTGCTCCTAATAGCATTCTGATGTGCACAATTTGCACAGTAAAGTCTAGCACAATTGCTCCTAATGGAAAGGTTGGCACAGGTACAGTTGAATAGCTACAGTAACATCTCCGGTCAAATTGCATGTTTTATTAATTTTCTAAGTGAAACTAAGTTCACACATCCTCTACAGAGAATGAGTTTCTGCACATTTAATGCACAATTATTGTTTATTTGCTGAATTAACATATTGAGGAAGGAAAAAAATGTGTCCTGTGCAAAAGTTTAGATACATTTTATATTTCATATTTTATTATTTTCAAATATACTAAACTCACCAAATAAATAACTTTGCTCTAAAATGTGCAGAAAAATGCTATATTTAAGTTTGTTCCCTTTAGAGGATGTGTGAACTTATTTTGACTTAGAAACTCAATAAAACATGTAATTTGACCAGATGTTCATTCGTGTATATTATATATATATATATATATATATATATATATATATATACATACATACATACACACACACACACACACACACACACACTATATACACGTGTAAGTGTGACTTACCAAGTCTCTTGTATTCTGCACTGTAGACTCTGTATTCTAAAAAGAGCAGATCAGAACAGAAAGTTACAGCAGAAACACACACACATACTAGCATAAAATCTTTATCTGAATGTTGGGTTTAGGTCTGAACTTCTGACGGGTCAGACCGCATCCAAATATTCATTCATTTCATTTTCTCCTTTTTTCCTTTATTTTCTCCTGCTTTAATTTTATTTTTTCCGTTTTTCTTGCTTTAGTTCTCTCATTTTTCTGACAGATCCCTCCTCTCTAGAGACTTGCTATATAGGCACCACACAGTGTTAGGACACGAGAGCATTGCTTGATGAATAAATTGGTGAAAGAGTGGAATGGACACTTAGTTTTGGACAACTGATTATTTCATCGTATTGTTTTTATTTTCTAATGACTGTTATTAATACCGCTATGCAGCAATTTAACTGCCACTATCATTAGAAATATAAGCACTTTGGATTATGATGAGCTAGTTTCAGATTCAAAACTTCATATGTGCTGGGTTTGGACAAAACTTCGTCTAGCTTCAGTCAAGTTCACACTCAAACTTGTGTCGTGGGTCCTTTGGGGTCAGGTCAGACCTGGACAGAAAGTTCTCGGGCTGCATTTGAGCTCGAACTAAAATTTCAGGCCCGATTACAACTCCAACACTCACACAGCCACGTTACCTACCGCTTCTCTGGGCAGAAAGGTCTCCTCCTGTCTCAGCACTAAAAGATTGACTGCGCCACCCATAGGTGTGGCTCTCAGCAGGGACACCACCTCCTCCTGACCATGCCCATTCAGGTCAACCCCATTCACCTGCGTCAGTCACAGCAGCACAGTGTTATGGAAAATGAGAGTTTAAATTTGCAGTAAAACTCACTCCTCAAGCACAGTGCACATCTGAGGACATGTACTGAACTGGAACTGTTTACCTTTCTGGGTCTTTGGGTGAATAACACACTAACTGTCCAAAAGTTTGTAGACACCTACTCATCCAACATATTTTCTGAAATTAAGGGTTTCTTACATGGAGTTTGTCCCCCTTTGCTGCAGTAACAACAAGGGTTTCTGAGAAGGCTTTATGCTTAAATGATGGAACACTGCTGTGAGAATTTGATTGCATTCAGCCACAAGTACATTAGTGAGGTCAGGCTGATGTTGGATCACAACTCATACCTCTCTAGCTGATAATTAGCATTGGGTATGGTGATCTAAGGGTCGCTGCTTCAGTGCTCTCACCTCATTCAAGTGACAATGTTTTTTCTATTAAGATTTGAATAGAAATAATAATTATACATATATTTGGAAATACATAGCATTTTCATTTTGGACACTAAGCTTTGAATGAAAATAAGAAATCTGGCCACAATATTTCCAGGCATATGTGAGCCCATATGTTTTTAATCTGGATTTAAAACTGTCGTGGAAAGTTCAGATAATTCTTCAGGTAGGAAGATAGACGATACTTGAGCTCAAGGAGATCCAGCAATGAAACACACTCTCAGTGGGTCTCATGCCAACTCCCAGTTCACTGATACTTCTCCCTTGTCTATGTACGTTCCATGTCATGCTTACATTGCAAAACTCCATCATCCAGTTATGACTTTCTGTCTTCAGGACTGGAGGAGTGAGAAGTTTCACTCAGCTTTATCGAAACTAGGCTGCTATTTATTTAGCTGCTTACTAGCTGAATCCACTTCTTAGGGTCCTCTCAGCGCCCCCTTCTTGGGTTCACTCATCAGTCATCCTCACACACACACAGACCCTTCACAGTCACAAGACATTTTTTTTTTTATGTTGCTTAAGCACTTAATTATTTCTGCTTTAGTCATATAAGCATTGTAGAACATTCTCCTTCTTAATATTGTATTTACAAAATAACATTTTCCATCTCAAAAAACAGCTATCGAGCTTACATTCCTAATATTCTATAAAACGCTATGTAAGAAAGTGATCTACCACCAACTGAGGTGTAACTGATCCTAAGTGTTCCTAGTAAGCCTGCCTCATGTGAGTGAAGTGGTCTTATGTAAGCTGTGTATAGGGCTGGGTGTTATTCACTTGTTTCACACCTCTAAAATGAACGGGGGGGATGAGGACAACACTACATGTTTTTCAAGCCATCACTGAATAAATGCCAAGCCATCTATCATCTATCTAACAGTTGCTACAACAGGGCTGCTTACAATGAGATGTGGCGCTGGTTAGCATTAGTTTAGCTAACACAATAACTGCTCTGCTCACTACAGAACATGTTTAATTCTGGCTAACTAAAGCATCGAAGGTTTAATGATAATGATTCAAATCTGAGAGAGTGAAGTTAAGCAATTGCCGTTCGAGCGTTTGGATCTGTAGCCTGAACAGATAAGGTTAGCTTAGTGAGCAGGCTATAGACCCACACAGCGTCACGCACCACAGAACAGGTTCGATTCTGATTAACTGGTGCTCTGCTGAAACAAGTGTAGATGATAGAAACTCAGGTCTGAGAGAGCAAATTTCGAGTGACTGGTGTTGGAGTGATACAAACACAAAATCAAACCTGTTCTGTGGTGTTTTAGCATTTTGGCTAAGCTTAGTCAGCAGGTCAAACATGCTACACATCACAGCGCAAGCTCAGCACACAGTCAAGTGACTGGTGTTAGAGTGCAGCAAAAACTGAGCATGTCCTGTAGTGTGTATCTCTTAGCTGCTGCAGAGCCGCTATCGTGCTTAGTTCTTCTCGGCTCTGATTTTTCCCCTATGTCTATCAGCGCCACCTATCAGTTAGCTACCATGCCACCAAACAGTGATGATCCCTTTTAAAATATAAATATGTTTATTTGGCTATTCAGACACGGAACAGAAATTTGATGGCATAATACTGAAATATCGTCATCATTTTAAAATACTGCAGTATACCTTATTACCGTTATACCACCCAGCCCTAGCTGTGAGTGAAGTTTCCCACAAGTGAAACTTCCTTAAAGTAGATTCACTAATTACAAGGATTGTCTGGATAACTTTGGATAGTCACGCTGTCACCTCACAGCAAAAAGGGCCTGGGTTCGAATCCCTGGCCGGGGGGGCAGGGTCCTTTCTGTGTGGAGTTTGCATGTTCTCCCTGTTTCTGTGTGCTCCAGTTTCCTCCCACAGTCCAAAGACCTGCAGTCAGGCTAACTGGAGATACTACAGTGCCCCTAGGTGTGAGTGTATGTGTGACTGTGATGGACTGACGACGACCTGTTCCGTGTGTTTCTTGCCTTCCACCCATGAGCACTGAAAAAGGCTCCACCACCCCCTGCGACCCAGGAGGATAAGTGGCTTAGATGACGAGTGAGTGAGTTTTTTCCTTTCGTAGACAACATGGAGAGCAGGAGAGAGAGTGATGACCAAAAAAAGGGGAGAATGCCACCCTGTAGGTAAGCAAGTAGCGTGGGTTAGATGGGATGCTTTTTAAAAGTGTGAGTGGTGTTGAAGGGATGAAGAAGTTGGCCAGGAGAGAGACTTCAGTGGTGAGTCATGTCTTAGTTCATTTCAGCACCATAGCAACAACAGAAGTAAAAATGAGTTTAAGGTATTAACGCATGAGAAAAATAGGTAAGCACAGCAAGAACGCTACCTTAATGAATGTGGGCTTTACTAATACCCTAGTGAGTAGTGATCTAATCTAGGAGTTATTTTTAATGGTAGACCTCCCCAGCAGTCCTCCCATGCAGTCCATTTGAATGAGAGAATTAGAGGGCTATTAGCCTGTGTGGTTTCCTGAACACTTTGTGGGAGATACAAACACATTACAAGTTTGAAAGTTGTTTTGGAGCAAAGGGACCAAACTACGATATTAAAAGACCACTGCACAGCGCAGTTCAGTATTTTCCATGGGTGGTACAAGGTGTGGTTCATCAGCATGTTATGATGCATGTCCTTTTTACAATGTATATGTTTACATGCACATAACAGCCTGACTAACTTATACGACTGAACCAAGACATTTACATGAGTTGTATGGAAGACTAGTCCATTTATAGTGTTTACCTGCCTAACAGCGTAATCTGGCTGTATAATAGTAAAGAGCCCTTGAGGACTCTCAAGTTTATCCACATGAGTTTCGTCATTTAACAACATCAGTGTTCTTCAGTGTTAATGATGCCTGTTTCCAGATGCAAACCATGACTATTAGAGCTACGCCTTCAATTCAATAATGCTAATTTTTGCTAACATGCCTATGGGAGCCTAGCAGTTTGTTAGTGCCAAGCTATTTATTTAGCTTTTATTATTTTTTGGCCATTCTAGATTAAACCATAGAAGCTTCTAAAAGACATTCCATGTTTTTAACAGCCTGTACACTGTGCCTTGCAGCAGCTTCACAGTGACTTTCAATAAAGAATCCAGGTACAGAGCTGCTGCTGCTGTTTTCCATTGCTAACAACCTACTGAATAATCAGCTGCTTGTATTCACGGTCGATCTAAGCATTAGACTGATGGATTGGAGTTTGTAAACCAGAACTAATCATGGCTCAATGTAACTAAATCCTCACAGCAATGTTCCAACATGTAGTGTAATGCCTTCCCAGAAGAGTACAGACTGTTACTGCAGCAAACGGGAGCCAACCCCTGACTAATACCACTGATTGGAATGTTGGAATAGCAGGTGTCCACAAACTTTTGGAAATACAGCCTATTAAAGCAACAAAACATAAGGTGACTCAATTTTGGATGCAGTTTTTCTCTGAAGGTTCATTGAAGAGTCTGGCCCACTTCCTGCAGTTTGTGTCCAACATAATAATTTATTTATATTTAAATGGTGATGTGACCTGCATAGTTCTTATTTGTTCTCACTTTCATACTGACAAAATGAATATGAATCAGTTCAGAACCTCTAGTAGTCTGTCTCCAGCCTTCAGACGTCCATCCTTGATGGCTGCTCCCCTCGGTAGAATGTTCTTCACGTAGATGGGGGCGGAGCCTCCCAGGGGGACGTCTCTGGATGTGATGCTGAAGCCAAGACCTTCTGGACCTGCACAGGGCAAACAAATATCAGTGGACTGAACTAAACTCAAAGAGAGTTTACAGATAGGCAGTGTCAATAATTTATCATTATCCTGATAAATTACGTCACAATAGGCTCCCAAATGGCGCAACTGCCTAAGCATTGATTCTAAGCACCAGGGATCGAACTTGGGATCTTCCTGCGATATTACAGCCACCCATGTCTGGGAATCCAAGAGAGCAAAACTGGCCACCCACTTGAGTTAGTTGGATGGTCCTCCGATGACTAATCATCATGAGGGAAGTGGGTAAAAAAAAGGCCCAAAATCCTTTACTAAGCATATTGTGGATACTGCTAGTACTTTCAGGCATACACAAAAGTTTGGGCACTCCGGGTCAAAATATGGCCTGTGCAAAATACATAGCACATTTTAATTTTTTCCCCCAATGTGTTAAATTTAGCGAATAAATAGAAATTGTACACTAAAATTAACAGAAAATGGAATATTTAAGTCTGTCCTGGAATATTCAGATGATCAACCAAGACATTTTTGGCATCTGAAATTTGTATCTTTATTTTTGCACTGGAGCAAATGAGACTAATGTAGCTCACAAGGACTGGGACCAGAAACCACTTTTTACTTTTGTAAGCTCCTCTCTGTAGCATCTTTCTGTTTCAGATGGAGGTGTTCCTGTTCCACATGTTCAAACACCTAATTATATAGCCAAAATTCTCTCTCAATCTAAAGAACTCTGCAAAATTTGCCAACGTGCCATTAATACACAGATTAATGAACATCATACAATGTGATGTAAAATACAAAACACTGCGGTTACCCTACTTAAGGATAGGGCAATATATTAAGAAACTCTCACCTGAAACTGACCAGTCGCGACACTCACAGCAAACAGTAAAAAACATGACTTCTTAGAAGGCTCATCTCCATATTACAGCTTTCTGCAGTACCAGTACTGCAAAGGTCAACACTGTGATAATGATTGAGGAACATATTATGCAGCTCCTTAAAAGCTTCAAAAACGGAATTCAATCATCATAATTCAACAGTTAATTCCAATTTCACAATGTGATTGGCTGGGAGGCACTCTATGGCCTGATAATGGCACTCCAACTGAATCTCTGAGTATCACTCCGCCTCATTCACCTGTAACCTCACAACAACCAGAGCACTCTCACTGTAATCAATGAAGCTGTCCACACCAGCAGCAAATGGCAGAGCACTGTTCTTGCTTGTATAAACAACAAATATCAGTAGAATAGGTCTAAATAAGCATCAACACAGTAAAACCATCCCCAGCCATCACACTGATAAGTTAAATTCCATCAGTGGCACAAGTGATGAAACATAACGAAGCACAGGTCAAACCAGGTACTGGATTGATATCAGGCTGCCATGAGGAGAGGTTTGGAAATGGTTAAATAAATGCATTGACATGTAAAAAATGCAACTAGTTGTATTGTATTTATTCTAATGTTTGTGAAAAAAAAATGGCCAGATAAAATGTCTCTTAACTTTCTCACGTGCCGTCAACTTTTGCAAAGTACTGTATGCATTAAAAATGTTTTATGTATTCCTTTCACTGGGACCTGAAACTTAATACATACAAATACTGCCATATACTTAAATATATAAACGCAACACTTTTTACTGAAAAAGCTTTCACTGAAAGGTTTTGCCTGCAAAAACATGGATGGGTCATGGAACAGAACCTAAATTAGTATTCCCACCATTTGCCTGTAAAAGGGCAACATTTCTAGGAATAAATCATGCATTTTATGAATCAACTGCTACAAAATGGAGGAATATCAAAAGTGTTGCATTTATATTTTTGTATAAAATAATATTATTTCTATCATGGTAAATAAGATACTTAAATCTGCTTAATATCTGTTAGCCTGTGTGTGTGTGTGTGTGTGTGTGTGTGTGTGTGTGTGTGTCCGGTTGAGGTAATCTCACACCTGTTTCTCAGGTAGGGAGCGGTCAGAGCCCGATTAAAAGCAGGAGCCAAAAGCATAGCGGGACAGCAGTGTCATCAGCTGAGCTTACAGGACTGTATGTGTGTGTGTGTGTGTGTGTGTGTGTGTGAGAGAGAGAGAAAGTGACAGATGTGTGTACATGTTTTGGAAGTGTGAATTCACAGACTGTATGCATGGCTTTTAAATTGTGCGTAAGTATCTGTATACGTTATATGTGTGTGTGTGTGTGTGTGTGTGTGTGTGTGGTGTGAGACTGCTCCAGGAAGCACAGTAAAACACACTGATGAGATCAGACAGCCATATGGAGAATCTGTCTGTTACATGCATTGCACCGACACACCACCACCTAGAAACACTCACCATGGTAACACACACCGCTGCTTAGCAACCCCGCGGTGCCCCCTGCACCCGCTGTGCCACCTGTCTGCTCATAGGTGCCAAGGCCCATGCCAACAGCTGTCAATCAATTAACACCCCACCCGCTCACTCGCAGCAGGGTGGAGATTACACAGATGCACTGACACACACACACACACACACACACACACACACACAAGAAAGCGACCATGCATTTTGTGCATTTACACAGTGTGGATAAATTACTAATATAATACAAACAATTTGTTGACATGATACCATCTGTATTCTGAACACTAACCCACCGTTTGAGCGGTTCTTAATGCTGACCCTGAAGCTGGCAGCATAGTGTGAACAACATAAGCATACTAGAAAAGATTCTGTGATTCAGACAATGGACCAAAGTGGACCAAGATGTGGTTATTTGGAGTTCTTATTAGCAACCAACCATAAAACCCAATCCACTGCATCTTTCTGACCAAAGAGACATCATTTTTGCTTTGAAACATTCATTTCATTTGAAGTACACTGGTAACTTGAATATGTAGCTATCATAAGCCATAAGAAAAGCATGTCAGAATTTTTAATAAATTATTTTGCACTCATAGCTCATTGAAACAAGCACAGAATTTACAGAGGAGTTGAATCCATTTTTCAAAATTTCTACATAATTCAACTGAGATGTCAAAATCCTCTCAAAACTACCATAAAACAATGACACAGGCAATAGGTCTACGCATTCTTAACTGCATTACGTAGTACCTTTCCTTGAGGTAGGTTTTAAAGTAATACACATTTTGGATGTCAGGTTTTTATCACCACCACTCTGAACAATTCTGACTCAGTAGTTTTTTTTCTAGAACAGAGCATTTCACGTCAAACCTCTCTGAATGACTACTTATTTAATTAAGCAGAAATCTGGAAAATTTTGGTGGAATTCCCCTTCAAGGTTCTAAACTTGCAATTATCACAACTGTCAATACAGAATGTAAATGGAGCATAAAGTAATTCATTATGTAATACAGAAGTAGATAAACCCAGGCAGTGGCTCTGCTCTACTCCTTGCTCTTGGTTGTGGTTTTGGTTGCAGTGGAAAAGCAATGACAGCGAGCATAAGCTCATATCTGTCCCCCAGCAGACCAGCTGACATTTCACTCAATCTTTTTTCCAAAAAGGCGACTCAACACACGAAGGAATCCAAAAAGCCACGGGGGATCACAGCACCCTGACATTTCCACACCATCAACAATAAAGTAACCTTTAACGACATTCAGTGAGTCCAAGAAATCATACACTTACTCTCTCAGAAACAGCAACGTTTGAGGATGGATTTCAACCATTTCCACCAGGCGCACCTACAGATTCAGCATCTCACTGCTGCATTATTGAAACAGTTAAGCCTTTGCCAGCTTCCTGTTCAACAGCACATCACCAGATTATGAACAGATGACTCCAATAATTTGCATGAGAACATGTCTCCTGTTACCAGTTACGAGGAGAAACTGATCGCTAGAGGTGGACAGATACTAACTAGGTACGCTTACCTGGTTAGATGCACTCAAATGATTGTGCTTTACTCGCAACTATAGTGAGCAAAACTGTCACGGTCATCAGTATTACCACAGTGTTGTTAAAATATGCTGAAAGTGTTCAAATAATACTGATACACAACCCGAAATCATTTCACCAATTTTTATACTCAAAACCACTTATAAAATCATTAGCAGTGTGCACTTTATACTTAAATAATAATGTAACTAGTATCTTATATGAAATATGAAAACCGAATCAAATGTGCAACAATATTACAGGTGGCACCATGTGGCCATAAGAGGTTCAAACGGTTCAAACATGACAGTCTTCAAATGTTTTGTGTTTTTCCGTTAATTCAGTACAGACTCAGCTTAATATTACTACTTCTGCCCTGATGAGCTGATTTATGATCAAAACCTCAGTTATTCTTTTAATGCTGGTAACATTTTACAGTAAGGACACTGAGGCTATTAAACTACCCTACCGAGGCTGTAGTTAGCTTCCTATTTGCCAGCTTCTTGTTCAAATTTACCAGTTCCACCTTAAACGGTGCAGCAGTTATATTCTGGCACCTGAGGTGTCATGACTGCTGCACTATTTAAGGTGGAACAGGAAAATTCGAAACAAGAAGCTGGCGAATAAGAAGCCGACCTCAGCTTCATAGGTTTACTGCTGGTAGACTGCTTTTTGATTCAGGTGATTTAAATGATCAAAATATCCCACCTGGAGTTTTATGTACGACGCTACCTAAATATGCGCTACAGTAGGACCTTCGGACAAGGAAGTGCAATCCGCCAGAACATTCACTAGAAGGTAGAGGTCACAAAGATGAATCATAAGCGATTTTCTTCCAGCATGTTGTGCAGACAGGCTGATCATTTTCAAACAAGTTTCACTCTGCACTCTTACAAAAACCAAAATATGAACACACTACAGACTCAGTCCTCTTAGAAGACTGAAAAATCTCCGGAGCAACGTCACCAGCTTCTGCCATGTTTACACTGACACAAACCAAAACCCACACTGCATGCTGCACCTGTGTCTGCGAGACTGTCACTAACTTGATGCTGGATAATATTTAACAGTGAAATGGAAATATTTAAGAGTTTTTTCAAAGCACGGTAATCGACCACAGTTTTAATAATAATTAAATTTTAAAAATTGTAACTAAGCTAAGCAAATTTTACTGTAGTTTACTGTGAAACCAGTAAGCATTTCATCACAACTTTTACTCAAGCATATTAGTGAGGATAGGAATCTACATTCTACTCAGTTACTCATTTTAAATCTTAATATTTAGTTACTAATTGCCTTTTGTGCTCTATTTCATTCGGTTACACTGGTGACTGCATCTGCACTGCTTTGTGTTTAATCACGCCTCTGACTTCTGAGGTTTATCATTTCACTTTAGATCCAATAATGCACTAAAAAGAGAAGAACTGAGCCTCAGTTATCAACTGTTTCAACAGATACTTCTGCGCTTCTACTCAAAGTGCTTTTTGAAAAGTTTTTACTTTTACTTCAGCCATTATTTCACAGGAGTAACACTTTTACCTGGCAGTAAATGTATCTCCATGTGTTAAGGTTACTCTATCCATCTCTGTCAACAGTAAAACAAACATGGAGTATAATCATTTGCTGCTGCTGCTGTTTGCCCCACCATTAGTGATGAGACATGAAAGAAAAAAACACATTTGGGTGAGGTTGTGGATGAGGAGACATTTGCAGTATGCCTTTTTGAATTTCGTTCTGTTGATGCTCTCAATTATACATACAATATCAGTATTTTGGTAGCTGATAACAAAACCAACCTCATGACACTCCACAATGGAACACGGAATCCCTTTCAGCATTGCTAAATTAATGGAGCCACAGCAGAGCTAATGCTGTCCTAAATCACGGTAACCTTCCCAGACACAAACTGTTGTTAGCTATTCATACTTCGAAAGGTCTTTTCATTTTTTAAATTTAGGCTATACTCACTGTCATCTTCACACAGCTATTTTGTTTGCACTTTTGAGGTTACTCACTTTAACAACTACTGGCAGCCTTTATGCCCTCTGTTTTTACTATACATCAATATAGCAAGGGTCCCACACTATTACCCCACAAAGACAGCTTCGTACGGTCTGTCACATATTTACAATTTATTACCAAATATGGTCTGCAAATCATTTTTTAAAACTTTTCTGTGGTTCACTATTTACCTCTGACAGGTAGACTTGCCTTACTCATCAGACACTGTGGCTGGAAACCCAACATAAGCTATATAAAATCATCTTAAGCAATAATAAAGCACTGCATGCAAGACGATCCAGACAAAAAGCTTACGCAGCGTGAATGCTGCTCGCTGAGCAGGCACGGCTGTCATTTAGCTATAACTAAATTAGGTATTATTCCAACTTCAGCTGACAGTTAATTCTGCCTTCTTGATTTATTCAGGACACAGCGGTAGATACAGTGTCAGAAATGAATTTAAAAATTGGAATTATCAAACAATTCACTAAGAATTAACCAAATTAACTGTTCATTTTGGCGATACTTTACTCGATGACACTGTCACAATAAGATTCCCAATTAATTGTACTATTAAATTTTAGTTAACATGATTTAACTGAACATTATTACATATTTATTAAACACAATGTATTTATTCTACTACTACTTCTAACAATAATTATTAGTGTTATTATTATTAGTAGTTGTTGTATTATTATTATTGGTTGTAAGTATAATAATAATAATAATAATAATAATGATGATGATGATAATAATAATAATAATAACAACAACAGTACCAGTATTAGTTGCATTATTATTATTAACAGTAGTTTTGTGGGGAGGGAAGAGATACTGACTAAGATGAGTGTATATTTAAGTCTATATTTAAGTTTACAACATTAGATAAAATGGTGGATGAAAAACTTTATGTAGTAAAAAATGTAATATATATGATATAAATGTTGTTTTTTAGTTTTTGGCATAATTTGAAAATGCCTGTTGTCCTACATTGTGTGCAAATTTCATGATGAATGGACCAAAAGAAATGGCCCAAAATTACTTGGAAAAAAGTCTGGTTCAACTGACTAACAATAAAGTGTTTTTTCCCTTTTCCTGCAAAGTTAGCATTTTGTAGATACAAGGTTTTGTTCTGACAGAAGCGATACACACACACACACACACACACACACATGTATAGCTTCTGTCGGAACACACACATATATATATATACAGAATATATAAACAGAATTGACCTGGGAATTGCAGACTTGTACCTTTCTTGAGCTGGATTCCGAGCCTCCGGCCAAACTTTTTACTGAAGCCTGGTGTGGGGGTGGAGCTTACGACCCTCTGAGGGGAAGCGCCATGGCCTGAGGGAGGTTTACCCATGGAGCCAACTGGATGCTGTACGGGATCATTTCTTGGCTGAGGCCTGGGTTGAGGAAGTCTGTGAGGGCCAGAGTCGAGATCAGCAGTGCTGACTGGCTCACTAGTGAGGGAGTCGGGGCTGAGGCGACCGAGGTGGCCGTGGTTTAGGGCAGGGTTTCGCTCGCTTTGGGAGATTTGCTCATATTCTGCTCTTCTTGTTGACGGAACCACATGGAAGAGAATCAGCGGTGAGCGCATTGCCTGACGGAACATGTTCTGAGCTCTGAGGAAAAAGACACACACGGAGAAAGACAGAAAAATGTAGTGTAATATGACAATTGTATAATACCAAACTTGAGTGTAATAAAGATCCAGCAAAGTGATAAATGATTAAACGCTCCTCAAAAGCTAGCTGACCTGCTAGCTGACCTCCCTGATGAGAACTATCAGAGAACTGTCTGGGTGAGGTCTAATATTCCAAGAGAATCGGGATTATTCAGCTCTACATGTACAAACTTAATGATGCTAATTTTGAGAATTTAGTTCTGTTGGCAGACAACTTGCATCCACAAGTGCTCATGAAATTGTCATAAAACAAAGCAACCCTTGTTCGGTTAGCCTTGACTTACTAATTCGCATTCTCTTGCTAGGTTACTCAGACACTAAGACAATGTGACCATTCAAGCAAAATTAATAGTTTTTATGAAAGCTACAGAATGTGGGAGGGATCAGCGTTGTGACTGTCAAGGATAAAGCTTACTCAAGTGTTACCCAAGAACTGCCCAATTTATATCAAAAGTGGAGAAATTCTGGGCAAGTACATGTAAACAAGTCACCAACTATTCATACAAATCCATCAAAATAAATGAATTAATAATAATAATAACAACAAGATCAAGATCAACATAAACCTAATTAGAAAGCACTAATGGATTTAAGCTGCTGGGTCTTTAAAGGGGAGTTTCACCAATTCTTCAAAATTTCTCTATAATTAAAGGGTTAAGATGCAAACAACCTGATTCAGAGTGGTTTGGTGTGAAATGCTCCATTCTAGGGTAACTTGCCGAGCCACTACTGTTCACAGGGGTGTTGATGAGAACCATATGTCTGAAACGTTTAACGCCTCTAAAATCTCCCTCACATTGAGTTATTATACGAAACTGTTAGAAATACATGATGCCTGATACATTGTTTCATGCAAGTTTTTAAAAGGATTTATGGTAGAGAGGCAAAATAGTCCCCAATGAAAACCTGTTTTTTCAGATTTGTCACTATTTTATCATTTTCAGCCTTCCATGTAAAACACAGAGGACATATATTTTGGATAGTAAACAAAATAACTATATTTTTACTGTGGACATCAAGACTCCTAGTTCCAATCACCACCAGTCTAAAGAAATCTGAGACTGTATGCTTCTCTGCAATGAATCCATTTCACATTAAACCACTCTCAACAACTTTGTTTACATCTTTACGACTGAATTTTGCAGAAATTTTGAAAAATCAGTGGAATTCCCCATCAAATCCATGCTGTTCAGGCTGAGGTATAAACAAGAGAATGTGAAGCCAGAGAAGAGCAGGGGTGGACAAATAAAAAACATTTGTACTTCAGCAATACTTAAGGTTTGTACTTTGTCCACTGCTGGAGATTACTGAGGGGGGAGCTCTTGTCAGTGAAGCCTAATAAACAAAGGAAGCAGTTTAAGTATGGTGGATGGGATGGATCGATTAAGGAAAGCAGAACGCCTTTTGTAATAGTTCCCCTTTGGTCAAACAAGTAGAAGCAAGCTTAGCACTGTAAGGCACAGAGGTGCAGAGACATAGACTTTCATAGACAGAGCGAGCAAAAGATGTAGAGGGGGACAGAGAGAGAGAGAGTGAGAAAGAAATTTAGCCGTGAGAAAGATAAGACTAAGAGAGGGTGAGAGTTGTGGTCAGATAGGGTCGTTCGAATCTTACTGTTCGAAGCGGACGTTGCAGAGGTTTCCATTGTTAATGCGAATGATGCAGTCGTTCTCCTGAAACAAACCCTGCTGCTGGGCCTTTCCTCCACGCTCTAACCGCTTCACCAACAAACCCAGTGTCCTGCAAGCAGCACACACAATTTCACATAGACCATTCAATCATTCTGCGTAGATATTTACATTGATTAAGTTATGACCAATTTAAACCCAAGGCATTCATTGGGCTTAGGAATAAGTTAAATATATACAAAATCATAATTTATATGCTACTTTCTATTGGGAGATAACAGTCCCAAATCCTAGGTGTGATGACTGTGTTAACTCTATCAGACCTATCATATCACTGGCCAGGGTAGTTATAATGCATGATAAGGCTAGTCATAGTAAAATGGATGGACATGTAGAAGTGGAGCTTTCTGTGCGCTCCACTGTTTTCTAGCACTACAAAAGAATCACTATTCTGTCTTTATTGTTGGATGCACTAAACGTGCACACATTTAGAAAAAAAATGATTCGTGATTACTGATTCGTTTCACTAGACCAGATGACGGCAACCCAAACGTTAAGAAGAGCCATTTTGTTTCACTAGACCAACAAAAATCTAACCACCTTGGGTGCTAATGTCCTAGTTTAGGCTAAAAATATAATATAAACAATGACGCAGACTTTGCTCTATTTTAAGCTTTATGTCAGCTATAGCTCTTTTCTCGTGTCTCTGGAAGGACACTTTTCCCCAAAGTAGAACGGTTTCTTGTAAAATTTCTCTCAACATTCGACTTTTTACGAGGCTGAAGTCGCTTCTCATTCTCCAGCTTCTTGTTCGAATTTTCCCGTTCCACCTCAAATGGCGCCTGAGGTGCCATAATGTAACTGTTGCACCATTTAGGTGGAACGGGAAAATTCGACTTCAGCTTCAGGATTTTTTAGTGTTTGACAGTTTCTTGTTGCGATTAAACCTATCAGGAAACCAGCTGGAGTTATTAAAATGGAAGGAAGTACATTCATCTCCAAATTATCGATGTTCACCTTAAATCTTTGCCTTTGCATTAGCTACTAGCCTAAGTGTCTGTGTCTCCGTGTGACGAGCAGTCTGCACGCCAACATTTAGGCTTAAAGGGTGAATTAACAGTTATACATTAACTCCAGCATTTGAGACCATTTATTGTTAAAACTGTTAAACGATCAGCAGAGCTTCATTTTACTGCAAAGAAGGATTATTTTATTTGTACCTAAAAATCTAATTTTACTGTGGAGCCGCAACAGGGCAGTAAAAGAGCCGCATGTGGCTCCACATGTTGCCGACCCCTGCACTAGGAAAACGATAAAAAGCCAATGAAGTGTGAAGTAAATTCCTATTTATGCATTATCCTGATCAAAAGGTAATGTGTGACAAAGAAAATAAAAATCTATACATTTTCAGCACTGTTGGGTTACATTCTTTACACATTAAATTAATGCAACAAAATCATCACGAGATCACGTTGTCAATGAAGAAGACCAGATGAAAAGGCAGAAACAGCTCATCATTCGCAGGTTACAGGCTTTAATACACATTCACAGCAACAACTGCACACAAATGGCAGTTAAACGACTATTAAATATTCCCTAAATATCACTGTCATTATGGCAATAACAATCTGGCAAACTGGAGACCATCAAGATCCTTCATTTGTTCATCTATAAAAAGACCTGCACAGACCTGCACTGCTTCTTTCCAATCAACCTCCATGAGCCCAGCCTCAGCACCTGACAGGTTCAGCTATAAACCGTTTTCTGAATGCAATAATAACCTCCCAGAGACTGAACTGAATCAAACTAAGTACTGCAAGGCCATAAAAAACCCCTCTGTCATCAGCCGATCTTTAGCATGAATACATTTCTGCATCTTTTTAACTTTTACAATCTTGTATTCTGAGGATAGGCTACTCTCATTGACCAAAGGGAGGAATGGGAATTATAAATATATATATACATAAAAAAAGGCTTTCAGCAAGATTAGTTCAGCTGACGCTAACTTGGCTGCTCTTTAAATACACAATCAGGTCCGTTCTGTTTCACTGGCCGTGTCTGTTCAGTTTATAACGCAGTTCATTTGAATGCAATTTAATCTACAGCACTGTGAGTAAACAGTCTCCGTCTTACTGCACTGACATAAATAAACTAGAAAAGACTTATGGCTTGTGATATTCAGAGTTAGAAGGACCCATACGTTAACAGTGCAGGAAGCCGGAATCTTAATATTAAACAGAGTTTAGATGCAGTCACTGCATTTAAAGTTACTGATCATGATTCATTACTGTCCCCATCTCAAAGAGCTCTCTTATAAGCCATCTGTGAAAACCTCTGGAAATGTAATGAAAGAACACAGGTAATGACTAAAATAACAGCTATGAGCTGTTTGGAAAGCATCCCTCTATGCATTCAATTAAATGATTCAATCTGAGCCTGTTTAATTTAAAATCCCAAAACAACTTCAGACACCTAAAATAAAAGAGAATTCAGCTTGAAGCTCCAGGCACATTATTCCGTTACTGATCTTAAGACTTATTTGAGACTAATAGTCATATACAGTTAACCAAACAACGATCAAAAAAAGTTGACACATCCTTCGCTGAGGACAAACCTAAATGTCAATTTTCTGGCATTTTTAGTTTAACACATTGGAAAAAATCAAATACACAATGGGCCATTACTTTTGCACAGGCCACACTTTGTTTTGTTTTTTCCAATATGTTAAATAAATGAATATGATACACATTACCATACAGTCTATGCATTTTCCACACTGAGAGTGAGAACAGTCAACAGGAGTTTTACAGGCTAAACATTAAGGACAGAGTACATGGGTCTTTTGTAACTGCCCATTTATCTAAAAGGTCAAGTCATTCATTCCACATGGGAGAGCAGGGTTCAAGTCCTGCTCAGGGAAGTTGATGGGTTTCTAATGCCACGTTCTTTAAACATCATAGCCCTTGACAATGTGTTTATCGTACAAACTCATACAGCGATAACATTAAAAATATGACTTATTGTGCAGCCCTAATTAAAACATACGCAAATAGACATGCTTAGAGCTTTTTCCCCCCATTTCACTCATTAACTGCAGCGGACACCTCACACCTTAAACTTAAACCAACAAACCTCAATTACTGTATTGCAGTATAACTCCTGTAACATAATATTTATTTGCACAGCTGTACAAATGTACATTTTTACAAATGCTCATATTCTGTAAAACACTGTATGTAACTGTTATTATATCATGTCTCCTCAGACACCGCAAACATGTACATATTCACTTCCTTAAGCTCCTTTCACACTGGCTCTCTATTAAATTTCTTATTGTTTACTATATTTATTATATTTTTATTTTATTTATTCCTTAGTTTTAAATGTTTTATTTTCTTTTGAGTATTTGTTGATAGTCTGTGCACTCATCTGGTCTGTCCAGTATGTTACATATCATACATGAGGTCACTTATCAAGACAAATTCCTTGTATGTGTAATATATCTGGCAAACTAATTTGATTCTGATTGTGCAAATAAATATAAACATAGCAAAAAAGTTACAATTTCTAATTTCAAAAGTAGTTGATAACTTAGTTTGAAGCACAAAGTTTGGTTTCAGATTTCTCCTGGACGCTCCCAGACATCACTGTTTTTGTTCAATTCCAACACGTGTATACTTTCATTTAATAAAGTATTGATTAGCACAACCAGGTGCAGGTGCTGAACGAGAACTATAATAAAAAACAGGCTTCCTCGAACAGAGGTTTGGAAATCGTTTCATGAACACATTAACATACATAAATTCAATTTACATACATAAATACATAAATAATTATTTTATGTGTTCCTCCTGCACATTGTGTGTGTGCAAGCGTGTGTGACTGTGCACAGAGACCTGAAAGACGCACCAATCAACTATATCAACTACAACCACACACAGACATAAACCTACTTGTAGGTACAGTTAGGGTGATATGTTTATGTATGATATGGATCATTATACTGAATTGGTTCAAAGTCAGAGCTGAAAATCCATTTTGGACTGATCTGGATTTCAGACTAAACTACTTTTGCTTTGAGTGACCCTTTACCTTAATTATGTTTATTTTATTAAATCAAATGATGGAACATTCCCTTTTGTCACTAACAAAACGAGCATATCACTACCAAAACTTTACCAAGTGTTTCAGTAGTGACTGCTTTGGTAGTGACAATTTTAGCAATTTTAAAACTCAAAAATGCTAGCCAGTACTAGAACTTGCAAACACAGCTTTGCACAGTTGCACAAACATAAAATCACAGTATTTTTCATTTAAACCCAAAAAGTTTACTTAATTACAGAAAATGTGAGTGTCGGTAATGACAATTTCACACTTTGAGACATATTTACATTTAAATAATGAATACATCAAAACAACCTCATGCTTTAAAATGCAGGGCGTGTGGCTAAAATAAGGCTCCGCAGTATGGACTACAACTGTAACAAGTTTCTGTAGTGCATAAAAAATTAATACTCATGACAAATCTGAAACTTTCAATCTCAATTTAATAAAAGACAAAAAGTCTTTAAAAAAACAAAACATTATTATTATAAAAAATATGCATACATTTTTTATATATATATATATATATATATATATATATATATATATATGGATATTACATTTTATATATATATATATATATATATATATATATATATATATATATATAAACTAATTATTCAAGTGTTATTACTTGTCACCTATTTACTATGAATACCTACTTGCTCAGAAAGTGTTTTGGTTGCTGCTTTTTAAATCTGACTCATTCCAGACATTAATTTTATGAGTTTATTCTCAATGCTATGAACTATTCTCAATTGTTATACAATCATTGATAGTTCCTGCTCATTAAAAAAAAAATCTTAATTTCATTCTTAAATTTACAGCTTCCTACAAATTGTTTGAAACCTATAAAATATTAGCATCCTACCAGAATCATTTTGGACATGTATTTTCAACAAAAACGATACATTATTCAAAACAGTGATTCCAAACTTTTGATTTTGTTGGTCCTCACATCATTGGGTTCCCATTTTCCTCTGAAAATGTACAAACACACAGACACCAGTGATTACCTGCGATCACGGCCACTGAAAGGCACGACATGGATACCCAGAGGCCCTCCATCATTAGACACCTCCACCAGCTTCACTATATCACTGAGAGAGAAACACATGCACACACAACGTTCACATAAAAATCCAGTAATGTACCAGCAATTCAACACCAAATTACTGATACACACAGGAGAACAATCAGAAAGAGAAAAATCAAAAGCATAAACACACACAAAAACAACCTTAACATCAAACAAACTCTAATACATGCAGCATAAGAGAAAACGGCACATTGTTTCTGATTTCAGGCTGACTTGAATGTAATTTAAAAAACTTCATAGGTTTCCTTTTCATTATTTCTACAGGCCCACTCATCCTTAAATGTTCATATTTGTAAACTACAGCTAGTGTTTCCTAACATAGTCAAAAAATAAAGAAAAACTGCAGATTTATAGATTTTTTTTATGGATATTTTCATATTATGGCAACAATATGTATATAATGAATCTTATTTCCTGTAGTATTAATAAAGAGCTTCAGAAGTCTATGATGACTGCATCATGTTTATTGATTATTCATGATCTGCAAATCTGTAAATAACTATTAATGAGTTCAGGAATGATTTTCTCATTTGTATACTCCTATAGACTGTTAGAGAACCACAACAGCAGTAGTCTTTGAAGAGACTGAAGTAGTTATCCTTTACAAACTGCATCCTACAAAAGGAGGACAAGACAGCAGCAGCAGCAATAACAGCAGCAGCAGCATGATTCATTACCTGCAGATCAAGCTGAGGCCAGGAACAGGGAGATTAAAAACAAACAGCACAGAGTGAGCACAATACAGCAACACAGATGCTTACAATAGGGGTTAAGCACAGACCAGCGGTGTATGTATGAGCGTTAGAGTGAGAGACTTACTCTAGTGACCTCACTCCCATGTGCTCTAAACTGGTGTCTGCCCGGCCTACTGGATCTATCCGTCCAACATCCTCCTCTTCTCGTGCCTCCTCCTGAAACCACAAAAACTACATTACCCACAATTCCTCCAGTGGTCACACTTCACACAGCTAATTAAAAACATGTTAACCTCACTTACACCTCCTAGTTTCCTATGGCATATACACATCAAGCGTCTTACTTTTTTATGAATTCTCACTTGTAGATCACAAGCAGGGAATTTCTGATAAGACTTTCAATCAACGATATTTCATTATGATTTTAATTTAATTTAACGAATTGTACCGCAGTGGCATGTTTTTGTCACGGTTTAACATCAAAAACTCAGTAAAAGCCAGAATTACAGACTCAAACCTGGCAGTACACAATGTAAACTGACTGCAAATGTATTTATTTGGGACTGTGGCACTAATTTATGTTTTGCATATAGTCAAACCCCCACACTCTTCTAAAACTGTGTCATATTTTGTGTCCTGGATTCCTGTTTGTTTTCACTGTGCACTAATCTTACACTATGAATCATTGCATTTATGTATTTAATGGAACTAAAGGGTTCTACACAACTTTAATGGAACTAAAGGGTTCTACTAAACTAGAGAGGAGATGCAAGGGGAGGCAAATAAACAAACAAAAACAAACAAACAAACAAATAAATAAATAAAGACAAAAACCAACCCCCCTGTAAAATGACTATCCCTCCTTTCAATCCCTTTTGGACCTCTTAAGATGGGTATTATCGATATTTACTTAGCACACCAACCAGTGAGGGATGTCTAAAGTCAATAAAACAAAAAAAAAAAATAGAGGTTATAATAATCTGATATTGTTTAAGTATTTCTTTAAATAGAAGGTAAAAATAATATTAAAACGTGGCACGGCCGGCTGCACCACCAGAGTGAGAACTGCTGCAGCACTGCTAACATTACCGTTATGTGTGTTAACATCATGCCTGATATTCCAGCTGTCGTTGGTAATTGCAGCAAGGAGTTTTATTAGATGGTATGAAATGCTGATTAAAGAACAAACATGTCAAGAGGCACTGATAAATTATCTAGCAATCCATTTAGTAAGCAGTGCTGAGTAGCTCAAGTCTTAGCGCTTTCTTGACATTGGAAGATGGCTACATTAGAAAGCTATGCATTTTGCAAGAAACCACAAAACAGCTCGAAGTCTGAAAGGGGATGACCAGTGTGTGGTCAGTTGAACCCACCATCCCCTTGATTTTTTATTTTATTTTTTTTACATGACCACTTGCAAGAGATATGAGTGTAGAGACATGAATTTAGAGCTGACCAAATCTGCACTTACTTAGGTTTTCAGGTGATTATAACTGTGTTAATGGATACAAATATTGACACCAAGTATTTTCATACCTAGTACTTTTTAAATGAACAAAGATTTTTGTGTTCACAACGTGAGCAAACTTTAAAAGGTACTCCTTTTTAGCAGTGATTAGATCTCAAACCACTTCTTGTTCACACCACAACTCCTTTAGAACTTACACTCCCCTGTATAAAGCTAAATTATGGGCTGTATTCTTTATCATTTAACAGATCTAACTGGCTGAACCACATTCAAAGCTGCAGAGAAATACTCAAATAGAGCCAAGCTATTAAAAACACTACGGTTTAGTGGTTCATAGAATCATTTTTAATGGAAATTATTTTACCGGACTTTGTATTTTATCATAGTGTATGTTCTTATGCTGTATAATATATTGTCACAGTTTGTTAAAGCCGGAAAGCCACTTGAGGCCATGCATTAGTGATTTCACCACTAATGCCGGTTTAACGAAGCATTATGTTGTGTAGCACCACCCTTTACCCAAAATAGAAAAACACTAACATACAGCCTCTTGAAGTTTATTGCTTTAATATGCCAGCACTGCTGTCTATTTGCAAGATCACACAAACCTGCAGCCATCCGTTTGTTCTGGGAGATACTGGCTGTATTTAAGGCTTTAAGCCCTAATGTTTTGTGCAAGCATGCGCAAGGATAGACCCCAGGGGAGTTTGAGCTCCTGCTCCTGCTCCTTTTGCCCTCATACTGTACAAGCGCCCTCTGGGTTGGTGTGTATAACTGTTTTATATTGCCCACATTGTTCTTCAAGATCCCTTCCAGCTAGACGAGTCTCAGCCTTGCTGGGGGAATAGAGCTCATGGTTCAGCTTTGGTTCTATGAAATTCAGCGCTCTTGGGCACGCCCTCTGCTGCAGCACTGACCACCTGTGCTTCTCCTCAGTAACTACGACCGGTCACGCATCACCACAGCACTGGAGATCCCACCAATAAATACTGCTAATATCTTCAAGAAAGTGTCACATTCCATAACATAGTAATACCGAAAAACAACCAAAACAACGTCTGCAATACAGTGTTGATAAGCTGCTCTTAAAGGGCCGGAATCCTACATTTGTCTTCCCTTTTGAGATCCACTCATTACATTTGGGTGGTTTAATGCACTGAAGACAGCCATTTAATTTTTTCTTGACCATTTTACAATCTCTCTCAATCACTTACAGTTAAATATGCTGTTTTTGTTACTGTGCCTTTAAGACTGATATCTGTAAAGTGAGCTGTTTTGATTGGCTGTTCTGTGCTCAATTCAAAAAGCACTCTGGGCTGAAACACTCTTTATAACTTCAGCCTGAATGGGCAGGGCTAACATACCGTAGGCTGAACAGGCTGAAGTCTGTAAATGCTTTGTTTTTCGTGACATCATGAAAACAGTGAAATCCAAACAGGCTGTTTTGCGGCTTAGTTTCTGTAAGTAGGCTACACTGACTGGAGAACAGTTTTGAAACTTTAACAAAGTTTAAATTTAAGTTAAATACTACACAGTGAATAAACAGTGCAGTAAATACTGCCTTGGCTTTGCATGCTGGTTGGTCCCTAGACTTCATATCCCGGCATAGATTGTAATTTTAGTGCTTTTGGCTGCCTTTGGAAAAACACTCTGTTTGGCCTATGAAACGTGATTACACTGTCCCTCCTGATAAAAATGATTGCAATGTGCAGCAAATTAAATTAGGTTTAATTCATGTCCATGTTACCCTTTTTTCCCTGGAGCCCCTGCTCCCCAAAATGTCTGCACACAGGCCTGCTTCTATAACCATAAAGCAAAACTCGAGGCAGACAGGGTCGGTTTCATTTTCACAAGGCACAAATCAAACAGGCCACAAAACGAACCACAAAAGAACTGTACTGAGACCACCTCGGGAGGTGGTCTGAGTTGGGTTCAATTGTGGGTGTGCTTAGAGGGGTCTAAGTTTGTTTGACGGGTTCATATATGCACAGAAAACCACGACTCAGAGGACTGAGACCACTTGAAATGCTGAAAATGCCATAAATGATTGTATATGACAAGAACAACATTATTGTATCAAATGAGAGTCATATGCTGGTTTTGGAGAAATCAGTATTACATAGTACAGACACTAATGATGTGAGGAGCCTCATATGAGTGTTCTGTAATGAGTGAGCGGCTGTGTGCTGTTCTTGTGAATCAAGAAATCATTCATTTGTGATGTTTTGCTATAGTTTTGTGATTTACTTTGGTTGAATTAAGTATTTTACTTTTACTGAAGGTATGAAAGTACAGATGCTGTTTCAGAGCTGGCAAAATGTGTCTTCAGCTCAACTGTACAACATGTTCAAACATTCTTAAACTTAAGCTCTTCATTTTCCGTGTGTAACAAATCTAATTAAATTAATAGTTTCGCCGAAAATCTAATTTAACTGTTTTCCCCACGCAACAAATGTAATTAATCAGCTTAGACATTTGCTGCTTTAGCTGTGTGTTTGAGCTATGAAGTTTATGTTGCTAATAAGTAACGGAGGCTTAAAAAACCCAGTGTAAACTTTAAGCCTAAATCATCACAAACTTGCCTCAAGCTACACCAAGTTCTTAAAGAGGAATTCCACTGTTTTCTTTCAAAGGTTCTGCATAATTAAAGGTCCATTAGTCAATTTATTGCTAGGAAAATATGAACACGTTTTAAAAGATAACCGTTTTAGCAATGGCATTAGCATAAGTGTATTTAATAGCCTGAATAACCCTGTTTGGAACACTGCAAGGTGGCGTAGAGGGCTTGTCTGTGTTTACACTGACCTCTTGCCATTCATTCGTGACTCAAGCACCTTTAAGTGGTTGAGATAAAGTTATTCAGAATGGTTTGGTGTGAAATGCTACATTCCAGAGAAACTTACCAAGTCAGAACTGTTCACAGTGGAGGTGATAGGAACCAGACGTCTGACGAGTTTAATGCCTCTAAAAGCTATTACACAAAATGATTATGAATACGCTGTCTGAGACATGCTGAGGCATTGTTTTCTGATCGTTTTGAAAAGGTTTTTCCGCCCTGAACAATTGCTTCAAAATACATGCAGGTTGTTGTACTGAAAAAATGTTTTTTTTTTTTTTTTTTAATCAGATTTACTTATCTTACTTACTTATTTAAAATATCTATATTTGTGTTGTAGCCATCGCAACCTCTGGTTCCTATAACCACCACTGTGAAGAAATCTGAGTCTGTAAGTTTCTCTACAATGAACCACTTCACACCAAACCACTCAATGGCTCTGTTTACATCGCAGCGAATTATGCATACATTTTGAAATTTCCCTTTAACGAATCTCAAATAAATTTGCTTATGTGGTTTTGGATGCTGTATGACACACTGTAACCTATAAAAATGGACACCATACAATGCACAGCTAAAACAACAGCAGTAACCATGCTGAAGCCTGTATTTCCATAAAGCTCAATATAGCCTGAGACAGTCTGTGAGCTGATTACTGAAAACACCTGCAGGAACACAGATTATATATAGTGCACACTTTCTTGAGACACATAGAAACACACACATACACACAGTCTTTACACACCTCTGTAAAGAGCTCTAGGGGCAACTGGACTGTTCTTCTCTTTTTAAAAAGACCGAAGAGACTCATGATCAACCTGAACAAGCATCAGAGCCCACCGACACTGCACATCCACTACACTCAAGCCAAAAGCAAGGTGCATTTCACGACACTCATCAGGTAACTGCAGG